AATCTGACTTTGATTAAACTTTTAGCGACACCGAAAAGGGTGCCCGAGGCCGACAGAAACGCGCGCGCACCTTGGCGCGCGTGCGAATGTGTGCGTGCGCTGACGTGTAAGTCGATTTTTATTACGTTCCGTCGCATACATTATAGCACGGTACTACGCGCTCGCGCGCGCGTTTAATGGGCTTATCGACGCCGCGAGATTACGACACAATAAAAGTTTCCCAATGCGCCCGAAAACCGCATCCGATCAGGTCGCGTTTAGCCGCTATTTCGTCACGCTTGTTTTGCATTCGTATATTATCAAAGCTTATTTCGTATTCAATATTCGGTAGTACAATGTTTGTCTACGCACGCGTCCCGTCGACACATTTGTCTCTAAGTAGATTATCCTATTATCTCTCTTCGAGATGTTATAAATTCTGACGATGCTCGTTTATTTTCATTAAATTTAATTCAAAGAATCGAACATCGAAGAAAGCGACAAAGACGAGAAGATCATCACTCACCGCAAACGCGATGCAAGTTGTCCATCCACTGCTCCATTCGGCTTCTGCGTCAAGGACTTCGGGTTCGGGCGTCGTACCAGGTATCACGTTATGACACTTTCAAACGTATTGCGCGTTATTTAATTGAATTAAACACAATAATTAACATCCGAACTTCTGAACGTTCTGCCGCGCGCGCGAACTTTCATAACTCTATAGTAGCGCTCTCTGCCGGCGAACGAAGTAGCTGCGAGCAAATGTTACCAACCGATGTAGAGCAAAGTAGTTATCGACGGGACGCAACGTTATCGCGCGATGGTAATGTAGATATCGTTGATATCGGTGAGTGTACGATTTTGAACACGTGTTCAATTTATGAATGAAGACCCGGGACGGCAGCATCGCGACGACGCGTGCGGAAGAACATCGTTGGCAGCTTTTTCTTCAGGTTTCTTCAAAAAGTAAGTACTTTATTACATGTCAAAAGGTATTGTATACAATGAAATATATTCAAATTGTCATCCGTTTGCCGGAGCGTTGTAAAAGATAAGAGGGAAAAGTGTTGTTGATACGTGACAGAGTTCACGCGCATTGTACACAGTCAAAGGTAAAGAGAGTGATAAAAACGATCAAGATCAGTGAATCACTTTATTGTCACACGCCATCACTGGCATTATCTGGATCTTAATTATCTTTTATCAGATATATACTGAATACAGTCACACTAACGCTTTTATACTTAAATCGTCTCGCGATCTCCTGCCACGAACTCCGTGTGTGTGAGTGTGACGACCGCAGCTTTTACGACCGATCGCGCGGCGAGAGGAGAAAAACAACCAAGATAAATAATTTACAGAAATAATAACAGAGAACATTCTTTGTATACGTGTCGTAATGTACATATATATATATATGTATATAATATTTCGTGCCGAATTTCTTCTTGCAAAAGCGAAGAAAGAAGAAACGCGTTCACGGAGCTCACGGCCGAGGTTTCGCGAAACGTTTCGTCTATAAACGTACTGCTTAACTTTTCTCTTTCGTTAATTCTGTTCTGTTTTTTCTTCCGTTTTTATCCAAACGAAAAAATGGCACTCTTTCTTAATGCTCGCGCTCTTTCGTTCTCGAGACATATTATATATATGTATATATAAATATATAAATATATATATTTATGCTCTCTCCTCATTTTCTTTTTCACTCCGTTTTACTTTCTTTCGCGCACTCTTTCACGCTCTTTCTCTCGCTCCGCACTTGCCATTCTCTCCCTCTCTTTCTCGCCCGTTTCTCTGTCTCTCTTTCACTCTTATATACTTTGAGGAAATAAATTCGGACGTTTACTATTGATAAATCAGAAATTGTACGAGCCCCGTCGCGGTTGCGTCTCGAGCGACGGGCGACTTCGGACAGTGATATATTTATATTCTCTTTTTTTTTTCTCTCATTTAATATTAAAGATCGTAAACTGCTCGCGATCTTACGACCGACTCGTGGACTCGTTTCTATAGAAGACAAAATGCGAGACAACTTGGATCACCTCATCAAAGCTAAATGTCGTGTATTCGAAATGATCGTGTGTCGGAAGGAAATCTAATCAAGACGTCTGATAATTAGAGCGCGCGCCAGCACGCTTCTCGCAATGATCGATCGATCGATCGGCAAGACGACATGATATGCGGTCTAACACGAATAGCGCTTTTCAATTCGTCTAAGTGTATTATCGATGAATACGAGTCGCTCGTGAGCTTACGATACAAGATTACAAGATCGCCTAAGCTACGTTTGGACTTCTTTCTACGAGAATAGTTCGATAATTCATTTTGCAACTTGATATCTTGCAGGCGTGATCTCTCTCTCTCTCTCTCTCTTTCTTTCTCTTTCGCAATTCTTCCAATCCATGTTTCTTCTCGCCGTGACTCGCGCTCTCCACACACACACACACGCACTCTTGCTTTTTCTCCAAATCTCTCTTTTACACCTCTTGTAACATGTACACACACACACACACACGCACACGCACACGCACATATAGCATACGCGCACATCCTATCGTAGTGTTGTAAACCTAAATTTGCGTCTTAAATTTGACAAAAGTGGTACATACCCCTTGGCTCGCTCAGGCATTTTTGCGATGCGCATAAAGTGTTTATTATTTTTTTTTTATCGTTTGCTAGATTCTCTTTTTTTCCTCTCTGTCTCTCTCTTAATTATACATTCTGAGCTTTTCGTTAGCTTCTACTACTCAAAATCGATAATAGTTCTCGAGGTTAAACCCCGATCTCTTTTCATTAAGTAATAATATATAGGTACAAAGTTTTGGATAATAATTTGTTCATTTGATAGTTGTAATATTATGTATACATATGATTCTCACGATGCGCTTGATTTTTCGAGTTCCTTTCTAGAATTGAGCATGCCTATGTACAAATGGGCATGGTAAGAATAAGAAATCGACGAATGCTCTTCGCGCTGTTTCTCATGACACATCGACATGACCCTAATCGATCGATCACTTACCGGACATTAAGTAGTATATTAATATTATTATTACTGTTAGACAATGTGTTCGCGATAAACAAATGTTTTACGTTTACTTTCGTCACTCTCGTAAAGTTTTGTTGTTATACGGCTAAGCGCACGTCGTTTTTGGTTTTTATTCCATCGGAGAACAACCCCGTGTCGTGCTACTTTATCGCTATTCTACTAGTAGTGCGCGTTATCGTGTTCATGTTTGCAAACAATGCGAACGAATTACTCGAGACTTCGCTCATAACTTCTTGCTCAAAGAGTGTGTGCAGTCTTTTTACAAACGGTTTTTATTATATTTATATATATATATATATATATATGTACAAATATTCTATAACTTCTTAAAACTCTAAAAGTAATGCGAAATTCGTGGTTTAATCGTTTTTTTTTTTTTTTTTTTTATTTGTCGGAGATACAAGACCACACAAGAAACAGCTGACGAAGAGACTGGGGTCGAATTTAATTAATTTTCGCGAAGGATCTTTACGGGTCGCGCGTAAATGGCGCGTTACAAACTGAAGATTTCTTTTTTTTTTTGTTTACGTAGTATAGTCTTGTATATTTTTATCAGTTAACTATTACAGACTTGTGTATTTAATTAGTGTTTGTCCCACGATCTCGATAAAGTTCGTGCATTTGCAAAATACGTACTTATAGAAATCAGCTTACGGTATAATATTTTTTTCGCAGTTTATCTTCTTTTTACATAACATTTCTCTTTGTCTTCGGATAGATCTCTATTTTTTTTTATCTTTGTTTTTCTCACGAGTAAAAAAGCTTTCTTTCTTTTGCTACTAATCTTAAGCATGTTTATAGATATGACAAGATGTGACCATCAGTTTTTTTTTTTTTTTTTTTTTTTTTTTTTTTCTATACATTTCCTTCGTTTTCTCTAAAGCTCGATCGGTCGAAGACGCGTTGCGTTTACCTAGAATTTAATCGTAAACAATCGGATTATCGGTGACATCTACAATGGCTCATCTGTAAATCAACGATATTTCGTTTATCTCGTTTTCATCAAACTCTAAATGCTAAGTTTCTTACGTCATAACTCGCTTAAACGACGGAATGGCATGTGTGTTTTTTTTTCGATGACAATTCGATATATAATCGCAGCACGCGTATCAAACTCCGCGCCTTACATTTAAATCGGTTTCTTACTTCGAAAAAATCGCGTTGTAGATTGCATAGAAATAGTCGTTATAATATATCAGAGAGCGGAAATGCGAATGAGACAATCGTTTTTTTTTTTTTTTTCAAATTACAAAGCAAGATATTATTTTTACCTTTGGTCAATTATAGTGAAAGTTGTGATAAGAAGAAGAGACGTCGACGCGTCGCAGACGTTCGCGTTGGATTTCTTCTTGTACGACTTCGATCACCCAAGAAACGTTTTGATGCGAATTATCTCGAAATATAGAAAGTCTCTACGTTTTTTTGTGAACCTATTCTTCTAGCAAATTTTTATATAGTAAATCGTAGATTTACAAAAATATACATAATACAGCCATGTGAAGCTTTTCGTTCCATTTGTCAATTTTCATTGATAATATCCAAGGAGTACCTTCCACCTACAATGATTTGTAATCCAATGACGTAAACAATGTCACGAAAAAACTTATACCTTTACAGAAAATTAAACGCAAAACTTATATACAAACGAGACTCCCAAAGAAAATTTTTCCTGCAGCTATTTTTCTACCTCACATTTGCTTAATGTGTCAAAGAAAAAACTCGCAGACAAGCGAATTGTGTGATATATTGACACGAATCGCAATAACATCTAGAAGTATGAAACTTTGCTCTCTTTCAAATTTCTCCTCGTCTTGTAAATCTTCACCGATATGCCTTGATTAAAGTGAAACATTTGTTCTTATATTTTACACACGGAGTTTACACGGCGAACCTTAAAAACTTCAGAAAAAAATAATATTCTCTTTCTTTTTCTTTCATTCTCTCTTTCTTTCTCTCTCTCACTCTCAATCTCTCTTTCTCTCCCTTTCTCTCTCTCTATTTCTCTCTCTCTCTCTTTCTTACTCGGAGCAGGAATGTAATTATTTACTAATTCACAGAGAGAGCAGACGCTTTTAAACGTGTATGTGCATACTCACTGAATGTATCTTTGCGAGTGTTCGACATACGCACGAGAAAAGATCGCGCGCGCCCGCGCGAACACATAGCACGATAATTAAGATATAAAATTAATGACAAGCATTTTTTTTTTTACGTACTTCTTACAGAGATTTACAAAGCCTCTTAAACACTTAGTGGGGGGCATTTGCTGTTTTTTGTCTTTTTTTTTGTTTTGTACAAAATCAGTACGAAAGAGAGAACTTTTTGCCACGACGCGTCCCATTCACGCGAATTGTATGGGCGGCTTACTTCTTCAATTTGTTTCAAAAAACTGTTTCTCTTATGTGCGAATAAAATTGTCAAATAAAATTTACCAAACAAAGAGCTAATTTATGAGTTTTTGGATGTAATAATAGCTTCTCTTTACACACCTTTGAAAATGCTAATCAACGAAAAACAACCAAACTAGAAATGCGTATAGGAATCGATTTGTCAGTCTGCTTCGTACTTGCAAAACGTGGGTACTTACTTATTTCCACATTCTTTATATCATAATGAATGTCTCATTTTTGGACACAAGTTAGTTTAAACGAAAGTAAAAAAAGCCGAATAATTGTACAATGAATGTTATCAAGGAATGAACTGTGTAATTAATCACATCATCGTACAATCTAAATATTCCGACGCTGAGTTAAAAAAAAAATAATAATAATTTAGATTGAGTTTAAAAATCTCTAATTAACAAAAAATGTGTGAAAATTATAATAACAATTATTGTTAGAAACTATAAGTCAAACGTCATTACCCATTCAAACCTGCGCGCACACACATATCGCACAAATTCATATATAATTATTATATTATTTACATTAAATCATATATTCTCTGAATGTGAGTGTGTAATATTTTCTTGACTAAAAATTTGACAACGATAAACGTCTTTTTTTTTTTTTTTTAGTCGATCGCTTCGGAGATCGGTATTTAAGTACTTGAACTGTCCTAAATTATATACAAAGTTTCGAAACGTCTTTTGTTTTCATTAGTATATGTAATATATTTATATATGTTCTTTCAACATTTTTCAACATTTTGTTTTCTCTTCATGACGATTAAATGAAGTCCACGGACCGTTTGTTGCTCCATTTCTCATTGTATTCATTAATTTTCTTATTACTCACTTAATCACATTTAAGATTTCACATCGTTTCACATCTTATTTTACCTAGTACACCACATTTGAGTTCACATCTGTCCCAAACTTGCTCGGTTTGCTTTGTTTTCACTGTAAAAGAAGACAAACAAACATGCGTTAGCAATTGCAAACACATAGTATTACTCATTTGCGTTGTGAAATATTGAATGATGCAAATTTCTCGCCTCTATAATGACAATATCTTCTCATGCATTGTATACATGTGTCGATATACATTGAAATATGAAACAAACCATATAAAAATTCTCGTAACTTGAGATTTTTCTTGCTACCATTCAATATCCCAAACTGATTAACGTTAGAAACATCTCGAGAAAATATGTAAGAGGACACTAGGACTCCGAATACGGCACAAACTTACCTTTGCTCGCTTTTTGAGATCGATAAAAACTCAAGCATATTGACAACTGTCACGATTTACTATAAATGTTATATTTACAAGAAAATTTGAACGAGTTATGAAAGAATGCAATGTTGTGTGCAAAGTTTTGGAAACAAATAACGTGGTATGTATCAAGCAAAATATCAGGAAGTCTAATGAAAGTCGTTCCTATAGACAGGGGAAAAAAGAGAATATTAAAATTCCATAGAAAGACAGAGAAAGAGAGCAAATAGTAGAATAAATTTAGGAACCAATTAAACTTGATGTGTGTTTTTTATCCTATGTTGAATCAAAGGAAGAGACATCCTTTCTACAAACTCGAAAAGGTAAAAGTCGATGCAGATGTTACAAGGCAACGAAATTTCGATCGCACACATGTGGTAATGTAGTATAATTCGTGTGGTATACCAATTATCGACTCTACTTCGAAGCGGTAATGGAAACAGTTTTGTACAGGACAAGCACACATTTTCAAAGAGAAGAGGAAATTTTTATACAGAACGTGGAGATGGAAAAAAAGATACTAGGAACAACAAGTGTGTATCAAGATTTCACATGGGTACTTCAGAAGAAAAACACAAATCTTTCGAGAAACGTTAAACACCTTGAACGCATTGTGAGTAGTACAAATATACTGTAATCGCGTGTATTGTCGCTACTTGTGTATATTCGCATACTGTATTGTTTGCAATTTTACGTGTACCCACGTTAAATCGTTGTCCAACTATCTACGAACGATGCCTTGATCTCAGTGCGTACCTAAAAACTATCTGGCGCTCCGGGAACATGGCTGGCTACGTCTACATCTAGTCTACATACAGACTAGTGGCTCGTCTGATATGCCGTACATGATATGTGATGTACTAGTGGTGTTTTCTCTAGAAAGACATATCCTTTCGTACGTTCTTTCACTCTTTCCGCATTCTCTCGCGTCGTCTTTGTGGTAACGTGTGTTCTTTTGATCATTTTTATTCCGATCTCGCTTAACATGTTTTTACTATCCGTTACTACATATGTACTCTGTTCTTTGTGTTTCTTCGTTAATTACTGTGACTTTACCGTATTCAGAGCCGAACGTTACTCATTTAGTAGTGTTAGGCTTTTCAACAGTAAATTAGCTTACAGAGTAGCGTGTAATAAAGTTTTTTTTTTCAAACTTGTGTATCAACTGCAGTGAAGAATATAAGTGATAATTTACGAGACACACGATAGAGAATTATCTACCATCATGATATTTCTCAACTTTTTACATATAACAGTGATGTATGTGTGTGAATAGTTTCTATTTTCTACAATATGTATATTTTACACTTGAGTATACATGTAATTATCCATTAAGCGATGATCTTCCGCGTGTCATTTAAAATTTGTCTCATTTTACGTTGTTAAAACCGATTTACAATGATTTTTCACTTTTAATCTTTCTTTTTTTTTTTGTAATCAGTGAATATAATACTATCTTACACATTGAGACTCGTGCATTTCGGTATTTTATTAATGGTAAAAGCGAAACTAGAGGTGCATCGCGATAGGAGCTCGAACTCAATCGTGTTTTGCTCTACTTTTATGTCTACTGTAAAAAAACTCAAAGATTTCCCATTAAAATACATATAAAAGGAATATTTCGGTAACATTCTCTCTTCGGTACGTTCTGGTCGTTCTTTTAGATTTTAAAAGAATCGAGAGACGTGGCCGAAGATCGACGGGACAAAGCAAGGGATGGAGCTCCACTGACCAGGGCTTGGGTGTCAAACAGCTTGTACCATCCGAACACCATCTGATTGAGGTCCAGCTCATCTAATACGATCTGTGCAATACCCATGAACACTTTTTTCCCTTCTATTCGGCCGTAGTCACCCCACACTGTCACCTGAAGTCACACATAACAATATAAAAATTCAATATAAACATTGTAAACATAAACATTTTAATATAAACATTGTAAGAATTAATTAAAACATACTAAAAAAAAAACAACAGTGATGTAGTATAGCATACCTGTAATATACAACCTCGGCAGTTTTCTTTGAAAGCCAATAACTGTTGATAGAACGGATCCAATGTTTTTCTCGCCATCGCTGTTTTCGCTTTTTCTATACATCTCTTGCCGTTCACCAGATAAAGTTTTACGTATGGAGCTGAAATAAAAATTCAGTTAAATAATTATGTCGCGTATATATTGGCGCTCTCAAAACTTTCATCGAAGTAACTCACCTGGTATCACTTTGCTGCCTTGTTTCGGTTTAAGGTCTTTGGCACGTATGACCTCTACTTCAAGGTAACCCCTCGTGTGGCTCAACGATAGTTGAATCTCGCCGAGGCAATGGGCACCAAGTGCTTGTCTTCCGACCACTTGACCCGGTCCAAGATCTTCGATGAAGTCTCTCAACTGCCCTTCGCCTGCCATTCGCAGACTGGGAGACCAACTGCGATTTTCAAAATTACTCATTTAGCAAAGGAACGCAGCTCATTCGGAATATATTGCGAAAAGTATGAAATATGATTCGCGGAAAACGTTTTTAGAGAGAGAGAGTAAAAGAAAATATTGAGAGAAACAGTAAAAATCTAGCTTACAGTGCTTATCGTACGAGCAATGTTAACAAAAACTAATTTATAGTTTTTCTCAATTTTAATTTCAAATTTATTATAAAGATCGTATAATTTACGATTAAAAAAAAAACGCGAAAACTGCAAGCCGCAAATTAGGATATTTATTCAAAAGAACCGATGCAATGATAATGTTGAAAAAGAAAAATCAAAACAAAAATACTATTCCGCAGGAGCGAGGGAAAATTCTCAGAAGCCTTCGACGAAAGTTGTAAAAGAGAGAGAGAACACACCTCATTCAATTTGAGATAAGAAGAACTCACGCTGAAAGTGTAGAGAGTGTTAGAGTGTAGTGAGTAAATATATATTATACACATGAAAGAAGATCAAAAGAGGTAATATAAATTCAAAACCATACCAGACTGTTAACGCATGCATTTTAATCTAAACGCAGAAAGGTATATTAATTTAGGTAATTAATTTATATAAATGAAAAAACAGCAATCAATCTATTTCAAAATAATCTTTCGCGAAAAAAGATATAAACATTTCAATCGATTCAAAATTAAGAGATCAGAAAAATATAAAATAGTCTTACGTTGTATACAACTTTAATAGGAAAGTTGTAGATTATCGCGCAAGACTGAGTACTGTTTCTTCGCTTCAATCTACTTTTTATCTACTTAACATGCTCCACTAAGATCTTATATAGGAACGAAAAAAATTGATTGAAAAAAAGTTTATTAACTTACTTGTCGATAACGCGTCGTTGAGAGAGAAGATTCACGTTAATAAATGCTAAACACTTTTCGAACGTTCTTCTCCTTAAAGAGTGTAGATATGTCCTCGCGACTACAATCTTATATATCTTACTCTCAAAACTTATTAATTTAACAACTACCTATACTTACAAAATTAAGTATTTTTTTGTCGTCAATATGAAACAAAGTAGATCTTTTCCGATTAGTAGCGGAGTAGCAGAGTAGTTGTAGCCTAATTGTGTTGTTGAGTGAAAAAAACGTATTGCATCATGATTTTAATATTAAAATATCATTACTTAGTGACTACGATTATATTTGAATCTCCAAACTCGCACGAAAACAAGTTCACACATCATCCGATTACAGTCAATCACTTTTCCCTTTAAAATTCTTTTAACTATATTTGAGTGAAAAATATCGCTGCCAAAAAAGGGATAAAATTATCGATATATCATTATTCTTTAAATGTATATTTTTGTGCCGAATTGATAAAACATTTCTTTTTCTTCACTTTTTACTCTATAATATATGTAATACTTAATTGAAAATTGTTGTTTTTTCGATTCGGCGCATATTCTACGAGAAAGAGATACACTGTGTTCTGTTACAAAATATCTATTCTACGATATATAAAATACACTTTATCAAAACGGATAACACACAAATCCATAAGGCGAGGGAACTGCTTTCCAAGGAACGTCGATGAATAGTCCACTATATATATATATGTATAAAAGACAATAAATATTGTACAGAAGTATATGGAAAAAACCACTGGGAGTAGAACGGTCCTGCGAAGACATTCTCGGGAAACATTCTGCATATTCACAATATGTTTCGTTCTTACCATGTGAGGGGAGAGAGAATGAGTCCGCGATAACGATCACACTGACATGTAGAATAGACACAAAAAGTGCGTGTTTATATGTGCAACGGTGCTCCGAATTAATGCGAATACAATCATTTGCCACAATCAAGCAATTAAAGCCAAGACGACAACAACACCGATATAATGGACGACAATATATTTTTATAAATGGGCACTTCTGTTTCTGAAGCAGGGATATGGAAGAATGCCGAACGTGAAAGAAGACAGAAAAAGATAGCAGAATATATAAGTTTCCAGTCTGTTCGTCGAAGACTACACTTTGTTTTTGATAAATAGATATTTCTTCCTCGCATTTAAGAAATTTGCATGTAAATGTTTTTTTATACAAAACAGTATTGCATATTTCCTAAACCATAGTTCTGATTACAATTAAGAAGTTATCACACATGGATATAATTATCTAATTTTTATATCAAGAATTAAAAGCTGAAATAATCAAAAGCAATATACGATGCATTAATTTTTAAATACGCAATATAAATCTTTGTTTTATTTTATAATTATACGTCATTTTTATAGTTCATGATAAAAATCGAGAAATAAACTGCGATTATGAAAAAGATAAATAATCCATAAATTACAAATTGAGAGAAATCGAAAAGGTATGAGGAAAATATACGTGACAATTATTTAAACAATTAAACAGTCTAAATTATGAAAACATTGATAATTTTTAATTATATTACATTTGAATATATAATAATCGACTTGAAGCTGTGTAGATAGATCTTAGCGCGCGCACACACACACACATAAGAAAAAGTAAATTAACAGAGGGATTATTCTTTGTTTACGTAATTATTTTAATAGCGTCTGTTATATTTGGAATGTTTATTTAATTGAAATATTTTCCGAAATTTATATATACGTCAATTTTTTCAAATTTATATATCGCTTTCCTTTTACACACGATTTGTGAACAACAAAGAATAAACCCAGATTAGGGTGAAAAGTGAGAAGACAATATAAGCTAGCGTGTACATTAACAAACGATACGCAATGAGTTGCGAATTGTGTGAGCATATATATATGTATATATATGTATATATATATATATATATATATATATATATATATTAAAATAATATATAAAATAATTTTTCTACTGTAGAATTCACAAATATTTCGAAAAAACATAAATTCGCGGTTTATTTCATCTTTCCACTTCACCAAACGGTTTTCTTCACAATCTTCTTAAAAGACGACATTTTAAATATCTTTTATACTACTAAGAAGAGCATAATTCTTCTAGCCAGAAAATAATTTTTTATTTACCTTTTGGTAGTAGAAAGATTAACAAATAAACTCACTCATCGCACTTTGCACAACTTACAGCTCACAGCTTCTCGTTTAGTCAACGTGCACGCGGCCTATAGAGGGGCAGAATGTAGAGAATTGAGAACCAATAAATTAGATAGGAAGATCAAAACTTAACAGGATTAGCAGATGGTTGAGAGAGGGAGATAGATAGACAGATAGAGGTGAAAAGAAAGCAAGAAAAATTTAGAGAGATAGAGACAGAGAAGAGAGAGAGAGATAAAGATAGAGATAGAAATAGAGATAGAGATAGAGATAGAGATAGAGATAGAGATAGAGATAGAGATAGAGAGAGAAAGAGAGAGAGAGAGAAGAGAGAAGAGAGAGAGAGAAGTAAGAGTGTATGTATCAGGAATCTCGCAGTTCCGCTTGCAGAATTGGTCGCCACAGGTGAAGTCCACTACTTACGAGCTTCCTTCGGAACTAGAGATCGAGTTGAGACTTCCGGCGGTATCGCTGGCTGCCGATCCTGCCTGTTTGCTGTCAAAGCGCTGGTAGACCGGCAGAATTTCCTCGGATCGTAGTATGCTGCTCGGCGTGCTGTTGCGCTTCCGGTTCGCGAAGCCGGCACCGCGCGCCACGGCGCCGGCGCTTCCACCGCCGTAGACCATCCCGCCACACTCTGCGTTGTAAACCAAACAAGAAATATCGCTAAACTATTGTTGTTTTTTGTTTGTTTTTTGCACTAAAACCGCTTGCGTGCCAGGGTAAAGCTGCAGCAGCTCGCCTCATCCGGACCGTCCAACGTGCCGCCGAAATGCCTGATCTTTTATAATATTTAATTTCGTCTCCGTAGCGATGAAATCTCGCAGAACAACGAACACGAACGATTTCAGCACATACGACACATTTCGTCGGCTAATCTCTTTCTCTCTCTTCCTCTCTGTTTCTTCCGCCCTTACGTTAAACTTCTTCCCTCACATACTTTTTCGCTCTTTTGCCGCTCGATCTCTCTCTGCTTGTTTCTTAAAATCAGTTTTTATTAGTAATAAGAGCTGAAAGGAAATTGTGTGTGTGTGTGTGTATGTTGTGATTCAAGAAAACAATGAAAATTGTGTACATGTGTGAAGAAAGGAAATATCGTGAGATTTGAAGTGTCGTGATACTTGGTGTGACAGGAGATAAATATTGCGCGAACATTTGCATTTGACACCAAAAACAGATAACATATCTAATCTCAGTATTGTCCTGTGTGAAACATTAAAATTATATATTTCGAGACCCACATTGTATCGCAAATAATAAAACTGTGACGTTTTTTTATGCGTGAATATTGTGGTAGAGAATATTGTGGTAGAGCGTGAATATTGTATTTGGCACAAGTTTTTCTGAGATTGCTCTAAACACAGACGATACACGACGAGACAAGCTAGTTGTATCACTGATGGTTCAATAAAATTTGTGTCCTGCTATGTGTAAAACAGAGCGCGAGTAAGCACAAATAAAAAACAGGATTTCGATGATCACGTGAAAATCTCTCTATTCTATCTTAATCCACGCGAGCTGTCGAGAAAATATTATAAATTACATAAAAACAAAATCATTAATTGTAACTACATTAAAAACTTGATTAACAATACGTTTTTTTATACGCTAATGTGTTACACGTAAATTTTTTAATTAGCCGCAAATCTAGAAGAGCCACTCAATGTATGTACATCTACCACTAGATTATTTATATATATTCCCGGACGCTTCTTAGGTACACAGTTGAAATAATAAATATAACAAATGTTACGCACGCAATCCATAATCCTCTGCGAAGGTCACAAAGTTTTTATAATGCAAGGGGATTCGTATAAAATTATCAAGTCGGATAGTACGTAAGGATTGTCCGGCAATAATGTAAATATTTGATAGCACATCCAACGGAGATTCGTAATCAATAATCGCAGAAATATGTATTGTAACATAGATATGTGTATATATATATATATGTATATATAAAATATATATGTATATATATATATATACATATATGCTTGTAAAAGCGCTGCAACGATTCAGGACATCGAAAAGTCAAAAGCCGTGTGAGCAGCGCACTCTCACCTGAAGCACGTATCAACAACAGCGACTTCTAAGAAAATGAATAAAAATATATATAATGTATTAGATGTGGCCAACTTACCTCGATGCTATCGAGAAACTCAAATTGACCACGCGACGATCTAGATTTCAAAAGCTGTATGAAAACGGAATAATAACGATTATAACGTGACACACGGTGCCGACACTATTCTAGAGTCACGAAAAGGCGCCAGCACAGCTATAATTGTGCAACTAGGATTTGAGTTTCCTGATCTGCATGGATTTGCGTCATATAATCGACAATGTGACCAATGGCAACGCTGATTTTGCGTCTGGTTTTTTTCGGAAGCATTTTAATCAACGAGAGACAATTTGACAGTTGGCGAAAAAATGGCGATGTTACACAGCCCAGGAAACTCGTGCGAACGTTCCTCTAGAAATAACGGATCAATGCTACGTAGAAATAGCATCTACGATCTAGAATAACGAGAAGGAAGAATCACCTCGTGACTATTTGAAGAAACGTGCAATCTTCGCAAAATACTTTCTTCGATTATTCAAATAGAAAAAACACACATATTCTCACAATATATTTTATATATATATATATGTGATGCGAGAGGATCTTTCGCAGATCCGCTTTTGAGCTTCTTAAAGAAAAGAGAGTATTTTCCGATAACAATCACGAGAGAGACTCGCACGACTCTGGCTAAAGCACGGCTTCTAAAAGAGTGATGTGTGGTGTGTTTCATTGTTGTGCTGTTATATAACGTCGGTGTCGCGGCTTGGACAATAATCTCTTGTTCTTCCTAACGTCCTCCTGCAACGTGTACTCACATTTCGTCGAAGGCTTGATCCAATTTAATTAACGAAATTCAACCTAAACACAGTCTATTCGATAATTTGACATAAATTTTCGCGCAATATAATTTCTGTGTGCGCAATATACACGTTATATCATATGTCATCATATTTGTTTTGAAATATATGCGAATTTGACGTCTCTGGTCTTTGGATTCGGAATTCAGCGCCGCTGAAACAGTAACAGAACGGACTTCCGTTCGTCGACGATGTCACCGTGTTGTCGGTCGCTCCCGCGCAATGTGTGCGAAAATATATGAGGAAAATTAAAAACGAAAGATGAAAAAAGAAAGAAGAGTTTCTACTGAGAGAGAGAGAGAGAGCTTGAGTCGGACCTGTCCCCGTCGCCGCTCCCCTCGCCGTCGCTGCTCGCGGAGCTTGGCTGCCGGCCGCTCCTACCGCTACCGACCGTATCCTCCGGCGGCAAGACCTCCTCGCTCCTGTGAACTGTAAAGGACGACTTCCCCTTCTTCCCGAAACCCAGCCGCCGTTTCCGTCCTTCCTCGCCCACGCATGTACCACCAACAGACGCACGTGGCATGTTATGGTTTTTTGCGTGATATAGTTTTGGTTTTTTTTTCGTGGTGGTGGCGAAGACCGTTGCAAAAGAGCAACGGTTGTAAACGTGGTGTCGATTATTATCGGATTTGATTTAACAGACGTATATGTTGATTTCACGGAAAGTATCGATTCGAGGTTTTTTTTATTGGTTGCGAAACAGTGGCGATCGGTCCAGGCAAATCGATCGGTGAATCCGGATGGAGTGTTCGGTGAACGCGCGCGAGCGCGCGGGCGACGATCGGACGACCGCCGCGATGAGAAATCGTGCAGGTGGGTGCAGATCGATGACGTGAATGGTCCCCCAGCGTCGAGAGGTGGTTGGTTGGTAGAAGTAAAGTGTGAATGTGTTCATGGTCGAAGAGAGGCGGATAGAGATGAGGAGAAATGGCGGAGAAAAGAAGAATACAATTAGAATGTACATACTGCCCCGTTTACTAGGTTTTTTGCTTGTTTACGGTATGCTCTTGTTATCGTTTACTCCGTCGGTGATAATTGAATGTTTAATGACAGCTTGTTATTTGCGTTTGTTCGATCATTTGTATTAGCAACGTTATTTTTTCTTATCCGCGTAGTTCCTCATTCTCTCTTATTTTTGCGTTTTTTTTCCCCGTTACATCGCGTTACAGGCTGATCGAAACTTTTTTTTCCCCGTCCGAGAGCTATTGAATTTGTTCTTTGTCACTCGCCCTTATTTGTACACATAGCGAGAGCACACCGTTGACATCTACAAACTATACGATGCTAAAGAAACTACGCTAATCCTAATTTACGAAATATCGTAGAGACATATGTTCTGAAGAAAACGATTTCCTCTTCACTAAAGAGAGAGAGAAGATATAAACGTCAAGAATATATATATATATATATGTATGTATATATAGAGAGAAAACTGTCTAATGTCGCGTGAGATGATGTCGCACATTGATCAAAAAAATACGTTCTAAATAGGCGCGCACCGAGAAACGTTCTTTTCCGCGGCGTGTAACGCAACGATATCGATCCATTGAATGAAAAAATCGACTACGCATGTAACACCGCAAAGACTATAAACGCAAATTTTCAACTAGAAATGGCCAGTGTGACAATGTGTTACCTGTCGCGGACAACTGGCTGGTGCTGTTACTCTTCTTGCCCAGACCGGCTTGATATTGTACCGCGCTTCCGCTGCTGCTTCCGCTTCCGCTTTTACTTCCCGGCGAGCTCTTGCGGCCTCTTCTCGACGCGTCTTCAACGTTAAGAGCAATCGCCGTGTCGCTGAAACTACCCGTGTCTACGAAACAAGGATAAGTTGTTGTATATATACACACGTAGAAGTAAATTAGCGCGATCTACGAGCGTCAAGTGTAAGAACTACACAACGTGGGCCGTGTTTCCAGAATGCTACGTCTGTGGTGTGCTACAGTTTTGAAAAATAATAGAAATAAAACAAGACAGAGTTAATAGATTTTTTGTTTGTACATTAATCTTGATCGGCGAAATTTGTTTTTTTTTTTTTATCAACATCACCGAAGCGATGCGTGTCCGATCTTTGCTGAATGACAGACAAAGACCTTCGTGACTTCGTGAAGGCGGGGGAGAGGAGGAGAAAACTTTGGTAACGTTGGATATATGTCCGCAGTTTACTAACTACCGCTAAATGCAACGAGTGCAACGAGTTCGTGACTGTAAATCCCGACGAAAATTTATGTTTCTCCTCTACGGAACTTTGTCTTCGCTCTCTTGACTATACGTCACACAGGCGTCGTGACGGTAAAATCGATACCGTTCTTATGTGAGAATCAGACTGCAGCTAGATATCGAACAAAATTTTGGTTAAAAAGAAAGACGAAAGTCTTTCATATACGGTAGGCACATGATTAATTTAAAACTAATCTCGACATCCGTATAGAAATAATAATATACACAGACAAATGAAAACAGTTAACTACAGAAAGTAACGCTACCACATATACATATATAATCCATAGTGTTTTCATATTAGAGAGTCAAAAATCTCTTTGTCTCACCTTTCTCGTCTTGGGGCACGTCGGCGTTGCTGAGACTTCTCGTGAACTGGTTCCTCTTGTCGTCGTGCCCGTTGTCGGTGACCTGATGTCTGGACGACGTCTTCTCGTACGAGCTCGACTGGCCGCTGTACTCCCTGCTTTCGGGCATGGACGAAGAGCGACGATTCCGAGTGTCGTCAGTGGCGGCGGCGGTGGGGGAGGTAGCGTCAGCGGTGTCGTAAGAGGATTTTTTTCGGGATCGTCGCCGGGCGGACGACGACGGCCCAAAGGATGACGGTCCGGAGGACGACGGCGACAGCAGGGACGCCACGTCGGCGATATTGGCGAGCGGCGACGTTTTCGTGTTTTGTGGGTGTTGGTGGTGATGATCGTCGGCCCGTGGGTGGTAGTTTTTAGCAGTGTCGGAGGTAGCGGTTTGGGAATCAAAGAGACTCGAATTAGCGTTACCAGGGCGGGGTGCTCGGTTACGGGGCCTACGCGGATCGCACGGGCCAAATCCGCAGTTCTCGCTGCACTGGCTCTCGCTCTCCATCGAGTACTCGTAGTACTCGAGGGTGTCGCTGATCGCCACGTTCCTCTTACTACTTCCCTGCGGCTGCTGCTGCGGCTGCTGCTGCAGTTGCTGTTGCTGCTGCTGCTGCTGCTGACTCGGGCGCCGCTGTTGGTGTTGATGGCGCTGCCCGTGTTGCTGCTGCCGCTGCCTCTTCTCGAGCATTTCGAGATCCCTAGCCTCCGGACAGCTGCTGTTCCGCCTACGATATCTATGCTTCGTTTCTAACGATGACCGCCGAGTGTCGTCACCCTTTCGCGACAGCGATCCCGACCTACCTAATTCCGCGGGGGACAGCGATAGCTCACGACACTCGGGGCAACTACTCTTACGCCTAGCGCGCGACCCGTGCCGCGGCGTCTCGCGACCCGAGGCACGTTGCGACCCTGACCTAACTAGTTCGCGCGGATAACCGCGTTCCTGATATCGGTCCTCGTAATCGTATCTTGAGTCTACGTAGCTACTACGATCTTGTTCCGCGTCAAAGTAGCCCGATCTACCGGCCTCGAAGCCCGAACTCCGACGGAAATAATCGGCCCCGACTACCGTCTCCATGGAACCGAACTCCTCGTCGGAGTCCAGCACGAAATTCGACGTTCTTTCTTCGTCACGTCCTCGTCGGGATGTCGTCGGGGTGTCGCGCACTCGCAGATCTCTGCTCTCGGGACAGCTGCTGTTCCGCTTACGGCGGTACATGCGTCTGGTGCGATCCGCAGTCGAGCTTAGATCCTCGTCCGAGTGTAAGGTCGGCGTAGACTCCGTTCGCTGGAGCTCTCTCAGTCTCTTGCTCTCGTTTAATCTCGATTGAACACCTGATGCGTTTCTGCTCTGCAAGCTCTCGTAGTCACCTACGCTACCCTCTTTACTACCTCTTCTGCTTCTTCGTCTTCGTCTTCGCGGCGAGGAATCGTTCTCGTAGATCTCCGCCTTGCCGGAACTGTGCGTGGTCGTTTGATAATCGTAATCATCGAGGGGACGATAACTGATGTAATCGCTGTGCTTGGCGTGATCGTCGTCGGACTGTGCGTAACATTTTCGAACGGCGCGATCCATCTGGTCGTCGAAATACTCTCTGTTGTACATCGATTCGCCGATTCTCAAATCTCGCATGTTCTCGTTCAGATAATTCAACTGCTTCTGCTCGTAATCGTCACTCTTATCACGTTCTATGAATCCTTCGTCGTAGTCGGAATCCCACTCCTTGTAATCCTTGTAGCCGTCTTCTCGATAGGAACGGCCGGTCGTCAGAGCGTCGTCGATGCTACAGTAGATATGATCGCCGATCGAAGTGCGAACGTTACTTTCCATGTTCTTCATTTTCTTTTCCGACGATATGTCCGTGATGTACGACGAATTGTGATCCAAGTAGCTCGCGTCCACGTATTTTCTCTTACCGGTATCCTCTTTGTCCAGAATGTTCCTAAGATTGGCGCGGTCTTTACTAAAGAGACTATTATCGTCAGCTAAGTACGAAGGCTTGTACGAATCGCTGGTTTCGATATTCTTCGCCTCGAAACTCGGAACGTATATCTCCGTTTCGCCGCAACTGAGCTCCGAGTCGTATCCGTAGAACGGCTTGTGATCCTGCTCGGGCAGGAAATCGTAATTCGTCTCTTTACTTAAGAGACTCGTAGGCACTTTGTCATCACCGTTCGAATCGTAGTAGGACTTGCTCTGATCGCCCAGCGCTGGTATCTTGTCACCGTATCCGGCGTCGCTGAGAGAGAGATTCCGCTTGAGCTTTCTCCGGGCTGTCCTGAGACTGTCGTCGCTGAATATGTTGCTCGAAATGCTCTCGTACTCGAAACTCTTCGCCCGGCGCGATAGCAGACCGACGGAGCCTGGCCTGGTACCGAAACGATCACCGTATGTATCGTGCATCACGTCGAAGCTCCTAGCCTTAGCGGATAAAAAAGATCTACGCGGATGCAAACTAGCGTCTAAACTCCTAATGTCGAGATGATCAGGAAAGTCGGTTGGATCATCACTCGAGACAACCGGTCGTCCCGTTGTCGTCGTTGCCGTCATTGCCACGGACTCGTCGTGTTCGCGCGATGCCGAATACTTCTTCACGAAACTATCGTTAAAATCGACGCGCAGGCAGTCCTCGATATAGATCTCCGGTATACGATTCTCAGCGCTACCGTCTACGTGTCGCTCTGGTCTGAGTATGTACCCCTCGGAAACGCTGTACTCGCTGGTCTCGGGGCTGTAATATCTTAGTATATTCTCGTCGACGGTCTGCGATCTCGTGAAGGGCGTACGCAACTTTTTGTACAACGAGCGTACCACTGCGGACTTGCTCCGTACGAGGGGATATGGGTCGGGATAGTTGCCGGGGTTGTTGCTTCGGGGTGATTTGGTGGGATTGCTGTTGTTCGGACAATAACATTCACTGCAGGGTACCCTAAGTTTGTGCCTGCGCCTAGTGCGCCTAAGGGGCTGGGGCATGGGAAATATGACACCGGGTATTAAAACGTTTTTAACTGTCGGTCTGCAAACAATGTTTTTCATATAGAGAGTTTAGCGCTCTTGCGAAACACAACCAAAGGGTGGGCCCATTCCGCTTTTGTTTCTCTTTGTTTTTTCTCTTCTTGTTATTTTTTTTTTTTTTTTTATTTTTTAATCTGCCGCGCGTTCGCGATCGATCGAACGCGTATCGGTCATGAAATCTCAGAACTCGATTCTGTCGATTTTCTCGCCGAGAGCAACGGGTCGGCATTTCAGAAGAGACACGCGGCGATCGATATGCTTCGCAATGCTTTTTTTTCTTTCTTTCATTCTTTCTCTTCCTTTTTTTTCTTTACGTCACGTGACGAGCAACACAACTACCTAAAAACCGTTCGACCAACGCTACGCACTGGATCCCTGCTTTTCTTAAGAATGGGGCATTATTAAATGGACATTGACATCGTGCATAGGAAGTGCAATCTAATCGCTTTTATAGAGAAAGACGAGGGGAGGAACGCTGGAACACATTGACACACAAGCAGGATGTGGAAGAGTGCAACTACGGGGGGAATCCATTTAGCCGACAATGTCCATTTAATCCAGGGATTATCCTTGACTTAAGGGGTTGAGCTTGTGAGCGTGTTACTCCCCGCGCCGATCGATTTTAATATATTGAGACATAAAAGTCCGGATCTATAAAAGTGCATCACGACGTTGTAGCGACGTATATTATTGATGTCGGGACTATATTGGACAGAGCACACTCTACGCTCAACTCCTCCCTGACAGAGTTATTCTCATAAAAATCTATGGAATCTCCGCGTTGCTTTGCACATTGACCTCGCAACGCGAGGTCGACCGTACAGTATAAAATAGCGTTAACAATTATAAAACTATACTCACATTAATCTCGATCCACGTGGTCGTTCCGATTGTGTACTAAAGGCACTGCTCGTTACCGAAGCTATGCTTTCCATGTCCGAGTCGCCGAGATCACCGAGTATGTCCTTGTCGGGACTTAAGTGTCCTCTCCTCGGTCTGTGTATTCTATGAGCGTGACTGTGTGATAATGCTAGCGAATCGTGTCCCATTGAAGGAAGGTCAGAGTCCGAAAGGCCACTATAGTGCTTTTCCCAGCCTTAAAACAAAGAGCAATCGATGGTGATTATTTTAATATAATAAAATCGTCAACGTTTTTGATTAATTCGAAAAAAACTTACCTCCCATACCCGTGCTTCTGTATATCGACGGCCTGTTGCGGTGTCTCATAAACCTCGCTCGTTCTTCTAAATCTTGCGCGACCCTTTCCTTCAAGGCTGCCGGGATTTGAGGTAGCTGGCGTTTCTTCGGGGAACCGGTGGGAGTGGCAGTTGCCGATCTTGAGCCAAATCTACATAAGTGTACAAATAATCTCAATTATTCTATCCGAAACTCGCGTTAATTCGGAAAGTCGCTGAAAGTTTTCGCTGATATTTCATACCTCGTCGTATGAACATATCCGTGCAAGTAGGGAATGGATCTTTGCTCGGGCGGAGACAAAGAACGATGACCAGTGGGACTCTGAGACCTTCCTCGGTATCTGACACTCGGAGAGTCCATAGGCGCTGCGCTATGCGACCTGTGACTCATCATTCCCCGATGGATGTCGTCCTGAGAATACGCATTTACAAAAAAATAATATAAATAATAAATAAATTATGTACTTACGAACGTAATTTAATTACAATTTAGAGAAACTTTACACGTTATTGGATGCTGATTTTATAATAATACTAATTTTAAAAGCAGGCATAAATTGAGCAATTTTAAATATTCACCTTACGATATGTTTGATAAGCTGATCCGATAGAAGCGGGCTGATCGCGGGATATCATAAGAGCGGCTCTCTTGCGTCCTTGCGGCGACATGTCTCGTCGACTCCGATGTTCACCGTCCGCGCAGAACTCCCTCTCCAGCGGCGGGCTAGAATGGTGGCTGCTCCAGCATGCGTTTTATTTTCTTTCATCAATTCAGTGAATATTGCGTGCCTTACAAGTTAAATGAGGCGAGTGCTGTGATCTCGCGCTAATTCCCAAAGTGCATGCGGCCAGGATGGTAAGATAAGCAGAAAAGGTAAGTATATAATCAAGAGAATGCTTGAAACAAAAACGAGCAACGCCAAGAGGACGAAAGAAAACGTCCAAAGTATAATAATAAAAAAACAAAGATCAACAAATCAAACAAATCCTCTCACAAAAACTTATTTCTCACGTGTCCTCGCACGTACTATTTTGGCACAATAGATTCTAGCATGAGCTCGATACGACCTCCTCGGAACGCAAACTGCAAGTGCATATCTCCTCTAATTTGGCGCGAAGCAGCTCCAAGTTACTCGGCAATGCAGTCAAGTCTTTTTCGGCGTTTACACAGTGTTCTCGATTGCAAGACTCTTTTCGTTGCCAAAAATCAGAGTCCGCGCGGCGAAGATTCGTCATGAGCGAGAGATACGAGAAATATATGCCGTGTGTAAGTGCGTTCGATGAGTGCCAAGTAACTGCGTAAAGTATCGCCGCGTATCAAAAATCGATTCGTGCGAAAAATGTGTCAATATATACAATGTATGTACAGATACGGAATTGTGATTCTCGCCGTTTTCTGGCAACGAAAAGTAGAGAGACGTCTACGTGGGATAATCTCGAAAACTGGATCGCACGCGCGATCAAAAGCGATTGCAAGTCCAAGCTTCGAGAAAATTTCCAATCCACCCCGGCCGATGCGACGCAATGCACTAAGCATTCTAGAAGCCATGTCTTATCGCATCTAAGACTTAATGTACGTAATATGCGTTTATGCAAGAAGCAATGACAGTATGACGTCTAGAGTGCCTACATGGGTTCGCTTAATTTTTCCCGCGCCTATTTTGTCGCCCGCGCGTTTTGTTTTTCATTATCTTTTTTCGTGCGAAAAACAAACTTTTGTTCCGAAAATTTATAATATCGTACGTTATCGCGCATTATAATTTATTCAATGTTTTACGTGCGCAATACTGCGATGAAGAAACGAAATAATATTAGAACATTACGTTCGACGCCAATAGTAGATGGTTTCGTGTCGACGTCTGTATCACAGTCACTGTTTCTTCTCTTTGAAAAAAAAGAAGTATTTTGCCTCCCTCCCTTCAATTCTTAAAAAATTGTATTTTATCTTTTTATTATCCGAACGATTCTCATGCTTGTTTTTATTATCCGTTTCTTAAACTGATCTATACGTGACCACGCGTCTTAGTACTCTCTCGTCTCGTTGTGTCGTCTTTATTTACACCTTTTGACATGTCGCATGACTGAACTGACTGATCTACGCGCACCATTTGTAAAAACCCCTAGCTGTGAGGATGCAAGACATGTGACTGCGTGATTCGTGAAGGAGGAAATATAAATTGTAATGGCCGTACCGCTTATAATTTGACGGCATATTATGAAACCTAAAAAATAAATAACAAAGCACACGTTACAATTGGGCGCCAATGAGCGGGCGCGGCCGCGGCCAACGCGTCATTGTGTTTTAATGTTTTCTTCATCATACTTTAACACACAACATACGTATTTACGACAATTCGAAAGATATTGCAAAAAGAAAAAGTTTTACGTGCTTAATTGACAAAAAACGCTTTTGCAGATCGAAGTTACGGTACAAAAAGAAGTGCAGAGTCGGATAATATCTCGACTCATCTTCATCTCTGCAACTCTCTATATCCTGTACCAAGCCTATTAAAAATAATCCACGTTTTTATTTACAATCTGCCACATTGATTCGATTTGTCACGATGTTCGTCGCCGCGAGAAATTTATGCAGACAAATTTTACTTTTACAACGAGTTTTGTTTGCGCAAATAAGCATGTAATTTATCCGTCCGAAAACATTTCACGATCATAAATTAAATATCATATGTGCGTGAACACATACTGACGGATTTTCATGTAAAATGTAGCATAATTAATATTGCAACGAAAATTTTAACTTTTGCTTCTATTAATAATTGAATACACATTTGTGCGTTGATGAAAATTTCGAAACTTACATTTACGAAAACGAATAATTTATCACAACAAAATGACCGTTTTTCACTGTTGTGAAATTTAATATTATTCAAACATTATCTCGAAATACGCGCGATCACGAGAGTTCATTATTACAAACGGATAACGTTTCAACTTTGAATGTTTTTTTATTTCGATTTGCACTATTGTTTCTTCAAACTGAACGTGAAACAGTTACCAGCAAAGAGCCGAAGCTTCGGCACTTTTTTACTCACAAAGAACGATCGGACATCATCGACGCGGAATATTAATATACGGCTACGAGTTTAAGACTGCGACTTCCGGAGCTAGCGATAGTCGCAGGCCAACTGCTATGTCAATTGGCTTGGTGCCCAGTTTATAACTTGGATTTTGCGCTCTCTCTTTCTTCCGATTGACCCCTCCTATTCGATTCTCTCGTCGTTTTTACAAACTTCCGTACGCAATCATTTATTTCGCTTGTATAAGTTTATTCGTTCTTGTTTCTTTCCTCACTTGGCTTACTTTTAAATCGCACAGTGGAGAAAAGAAATCAAATCTTACACGATTGATATCACTCTTGTGCTATCGCAAGAATTATTTGTCACAATTACGATGTAATTGTTACTTTCAATTTATATGTTAAATGCAATTACACACTTTACAGGTAATTAAAAATAAAGAGAGAATTTAAAGCAACGAGGAAAATTAAGAATAAAAACTGTGATCTACACCTCAATGTGAAAAATGTCCTAATCGCGTAGTTGGCAATGTAAATCTAATTTTTCCAACAATTACAGTCAATTATAAACAGCGCAACCTCGTTACCAGCGGAAGAAAACTAATGACGGAAGAAATTATAGCGGGAAACCATTTCACACGAAATCCCGGATAAACACGCCTCCCCCGTGTTATGGACGATAAAGGCCGCGATACAAGGAACACGAGAGTAACTATTACGGCAATGGTTACGACAGTGGTTACGAGACCTAAACCAGGTCTTGAGAGTCACACAGGGGGAGGCAATGCCGTCAGGTTACTAACGCAATTCCCGCTGGTCAAGTACGTTTGTTGTAGTGGATTTGAATAACCGCGATATTGATTTTCAATAACGCGTAAAGTTCATCTCAATTAATCCGGTATGATTCGAACGCGAGTCTGAGAGTCTCTTGCGTTTTGTCGTAAAATTATATTACAATGTTTCTCTTTATTTCAATCTCTGAACGTGGTTTAACGTTGAAATTCCGTCATCAAACGGCTCGATGTGATTTTCCTTCGCGTTAGAAATCGAGATTAATACACACACAATATCGAGACGTGTTAAATACATATATAAAAGATGATCTTACCTAGAGGAACTGCCGATACTACTTATGCTGGCACCGTCGGCCGTTCTTCTTGGTTCTCTCGACACGTCGCAGTCCGTAATATCGCACTCCGAGGTGTCGGAGTCACTTAATCTCGAGGTGGTCGACGGTGGACTAAGATGACAGTCTATCATGTCATCGGAATCTTGGTAATGTCTGCAGAGTAGAAAGCAGCGCTGGCTCGTATTTGCCATTTTGTTGAAACGGCTTCAAATGCGAATTTCATGTATCAGATTTTTATTCAAGAACAGAGACAAGACAATCAACCAACGACTCTCTCTTTTGGCATCTCTTTTTCCCCCGGTATGTACGGTTTTGGGCGTTCAAAAGCGATAAGACATGTAACGCAAAAGCCTCTACCACAATTTAAGCAGAAACGAGATATAACATTGGGAACATTGTCAAACATTCCGCGAGAAATTCGTATCGATGCGAGGTATTTATTTGATCGCTTTTAGTATTGGCATCGGAACTACTAGCATTCGCGAGAGCGATTCATACCTCAAGTGCCGGTGTTCTCCGTGAGCAGTCAGAGAATGCCATTCTGGTTCCTCGTCTAAGGGACATACTGCCAATTCCAGGACAGCCTCGCCGAGAAAATCGTTCACCTCGTACCTCGCGTAGTCCCAGACCGTAATCTCGAGCGCTCTTTTCCGCAGCTCCGAACGTCTGACTTTCGTATAAACGAAAGTTTGATTCCACCTAGGATCGTTTGTGTTCGCCACGGTCTTCGTTCGGCGTTTCGATTTCTCGCTATAATAACACGCGAACGTGCAGATCTTAACAGTTACGGAAAAATTCTTTGAATAAAATCAAACGAACTGAAAAACTACGGGTTGAACACAATCGAAACTTTTTTTTATTACAACGATTAACATTCGATGACTTTTTACTCTGATGTATATTTTTGTAATACTCTTTAAATTTTTATTTACACGACAAATTGCGTTGCGCAGAAAAATTTACATTATTTTTCTGAATAATTTCTTCTCTCGCGATTCACGATTGATCAACTTTATTCTTTCAGAATGTTATTATTAGATGTTGACCCACCTTTTGTCAGGAAGTAGAAAAACCTTGGCGTAAGGATTTCTTGGTTGGCCGTTGCTCTTTGGCGCGAGCCCCGCGGCGCAAATTATCGTGACGTTCAGCTGAAGTTGCATGGGATCGTAACCCAGCTTCACCTGAATGCTACCGCCCACGTTCGCATGTCCGGTCGGATGTCGGACGTCGGTCGAATGTCGACTGCGTCCTTGGGCGTACAGGTCCGGCGAGCCGGGCGACGTCACTAAAACCGAGGGTTTCTCACGCCTCGCGTCGTACAACTCTGCAAGTGATCGTGCAGTGTCGTCTAGGATATAACTCGTTTCTCGTGTCTAGTGATCTTTTTTCGAGCGATTCATGAAGAGAGGATGTTTGCGCACAGATTCGACGCGAAAAAAAAAAAATGAACAATGAAAAAAAAAACTTGAAAAAAAAAAAAAGAAAAAGATAATTCACTGAGCAGATAAACTGTCATGCCCTCGCCGTTTTATATTTCAGATAAAAACTTACAAATAACACGACAAGATTCGAAATACGTCCAAAAGACTACGAAGTACATGAAGGATTAGAATAATTGTCGGATGTTCGTTGCAAAGATTTGTGTCGCTGGAGCGGTAGAAGTGAGAGTGAGAGAGAGAGAGAGAGAAAGAGAAAGAGAAAATCAAGTCTTATATATCTCACACACACAGCGTCATTGGGAAAATCCCAGAGGGTGTTGCAAAATCGATAAACTATTTCGGGATAATTCTGGAAACACCTACGTCTTTCAAGAAGTGGGAGTTCGCATGCACGGAGTTCTCCGAATCACGGAAATCCGTGAGAACGAGCCGCGAAAAAAATGCACAAAAAGGCTTGGTTACGAATATAATGATACGCGTGTCGGAGAGATATAATTCACGCGGATATTTGATAACAGTGCGAACACAGCGATTATAACACTTAATTATAAGGGTTATTTCGGTCTTGTTTATAAATAGAGAAGAAGCGTGTACATATATATTACATATGAGGACACTTATACGTATCGGCGTCTTTTGTATATGTACACATGTATACAGTTGTTGCTCCCATAAGACTACCACCTATACGGTACTCTTTAGCGGGGGGTGCATTAGCACTACGATCTATGTCTACGTAAAACATCGACGGTTACGCTTTAAAAAAAGAGACAATAAACGGATTAATTAATTTTCGTTGCTTCGCCATGTTTTTTGTCGTAGCATCGAAAGTTCAACAATTCCGTTTGTTGAGATTTGCACAATCTCACGAAACGGCACTACCAACAGATACGAAGGGCTAATAGACGGGAAACAGACATTCATATCAATCGAAATGGTTTTAAAAGAAATTTGTTTGACGCCTACCCCACAGAATACATTTCTTAAGACCTGGAATGCGAAAAAGCACAGTCTGTAACAGGCGTTTCAATGTCTGCTTAATACGTACTTATATTACGAACGCGCGTTTCGTAATTTTGCGCCATTTTACGAAGATTACGTCTAATGAGTTGTACAATCGATATCGATAAATATTTAATTAAATCGGAACACACTCCCTCTTAATTCTCCTTTCCTTTTGCGGAAATGCCTTTCACGGGATTTCATCCGATTAAATTATAACGCCGACATTACGCGTGTACCACTACATTGCGTCTGCTTGATGCAATAATTACGATCCTTTTATTTATTATTTATCTTCTTTGTGAATTGCAAGCAAAGATTGCGTGAAACTAGTGCGGCAAACGACCAAAACGAACTATCTCTAAGAGATATTTTGCACACCACACCTTTCAGAAATATTTCTCTTTCGATAATCGCGAGTAGCGACGTAATTTCTTAAACACATTTGCGTAAAACTAAATACTTCTAAGTTCATAAATCACATTTTTTATAAAATTTAAAGAAATTAAAAACTAATATAAAAGACACACAACCTCTCTATCTTTGGTCTAGGAGATGTGATGATCATTTTGTTAAATTTCGTTTTTTTTTTTTTTTATAAATCTCACAATATCTATAATAGCGCTCAGCACCATGCACGACTATATCACAGAATGAAGAGACTGCACGACTATCTCATAGAGTTAATGATATAAAGTACTTATACCTTAGAATTATATGTATAAAAAAAGTAAAGTTTTTGAGATTTCGTGAGCACAACAAAGAATTATCGATAATAAAATAATCTAGATTATAACGACACTTCTTACACAGAAGTAAGATCAAAAACGATCGGGAAACGAAACGTGTGTTGAGTGCATAGTCACCTTTGTGATGCGGTTGCTGAGGCCCGGAGATGGTCTCGTGTTTCTGTCTCCATTGACTCTGGGCGACCATCCTCCTCGACGCCATGGACGTCGACGGGCCCGGTTCTGAAAGCGGCAAGCCTGTTGCCGTCGACGACAACTTCCTCTCAACTACGAGTTCGATCTGCGGCTCCAGCCTCGACTCGGCGATGATGTCGTAAACTTCTTGGAAGCTCTTGCCCTGAAGGGATCTTCCATTCCACATGATCACCTCGTCACCTGAAACAGCCGCAGGGAATACCCGAGAAATCGTCGAGCGGCCCGATTCGTTTGCCGGGGAAACGGCCGCGGAAACGGAAATAGCTTGCGCGCGACTCCTACGAGTACACACTGACAAACCGTGTGCTTTCCGCCGTGCATCAAAGCTGAAAGCACGACGCTGGAATATTCGCCAAACGGTATGTGCACGGAGACTTTCGTTAGCATACGCGATGACGAACGAGGAAGAAATGAAGTTGCACGCCATGTGTGATCAAATATTTAAATACTGAAGATATAAACAATTATCTCTTATATTTTCATTGAAAATATTTGCTTTCGTTGATGTTTTCGTAAGTTTATCAATTTAATCTACTTTTATTTTTTCAAATATTTTCTTTATATTTACATGTGTTGTTTTTTTTACAAATGAAACTCGCGGTTTGTCTTAAAAATCTCTGGTCTGATTTTAACTTTGCAATTTTCTTACCGGGCCTAAGTTGACCTTCTACGTCCGCCGTGCTACCCTCTTTCACCTTCTCGATCAGCGCTCCCATGGAACCGTCTTCCAATAATTTCCCGCCGACAACTTTTAGCCCGAGTATACTACTACAGCTCCCGGAACCAGCCGACTTTCGTAAGACCATGTGGCCGATGATCTTCTCACCGTCTTCGCTCACTTGCCAGGATGGATGCTACGAATCGCGGACAATATGGTTTTTTTTTTATTGATACCGGGTGTCACATGTGCGCGCGTCTTCATAAATCAGAAGCATGGAACGTACGTTCGAATTCTGGATCCTGAGCGCATTCTTATGCTTAAGAAATGAAAAATACATTTGAAACACGCGTCGATGACGTTGCACGACTAATTCTAACTAGTAAATAATGTTAGATTTCTTCTCATAAAATAAATAATATTGCTTTTTTTTAATCAGTTTCCAGTATTCCGGCGTATTTCCAGTAATAATCTGTTTATATATAAAGTAAAACACAAATAATTGTAAAACATTTAAAAATTTCTACTGAGAAAAATGTTTTGTGTCTCTATATTATCTCGATGTATAAATTTTTTCTTACAACTATACATTTCTCATGCGCAAGATGCACTACAGGAACATTGGAGCGTAGAAAGAAAGCTACGGAAAATTTGAGAGAATACGTCAATTTATGTAATTTTAACATAAAAAGAATCAAGAATACAAAATCGATTCAAACTTGAAAGTATCTCGTAACAAACAATTTTCTGTAAATAATTATGTTTTTGTTTTTTTTTTCGTGACAAACTTTTCGACGTGTTCTCTCAAAATGCATTACAAAAATGTTTATTTTCTAATCTAAACATATCAGAAAATCAAATTGAGTTGGCGCTTTACAAAGCAGCAAGCATACGCCATTGTGGTATAAAAGCGAGATATAGTATCAGTACCGGATGCAGTATGCGTAACTGGCAAATAGTATTGTACACGCGCAAGCCTTTGCACATCACGTTACGTCTCGCACCTGTCGAACATCCAGTGTTCGAGGGAGAGAATTTGCCTCCGGCAAATTCAGAAAACAACAGGATGCAACACAAACATGCAAATATCAGTGCGTAGTTGTTAAGCGTAATATTGCGTAAAACTCTCGAGCGTGATACGTATATCTATGAGAACGACGCGATTCACCAGGTGGATCTACTTTAGGGAGAGGAGTCGCCTCTTTTATCTTTTTGTTTTTAAAATCCTATCAAACGGAGGTGTTTCATCACTAACGCGTATACTCCACAAAAATTCAAAACATGGTAAGAATTTTATTCAACTTGCAATTATATCAAGTTGTTTTTTCGCGCACGCGTTAAAGCGATTTTAATAATATCAGCTTTCGCATTGTTGCAGACAATTTTGTCAATATCAGAAAAATCGGTAATGCATGTATATAATCTGCAGCATCACGTACAAACTTTCGGATGGCACCGAGAAACTTTCACAATCCATTTCTACTTTTACGCCAGTGAAATATTGCAAAAGTAACTGTAAAGTCAAGCGTGCTTTTGCGACATATTTTAAGATATTGCGTTAAATAACACAATTATTTTCGCAAAACTAAATTTTACCGACGGGACCGACGGAATTGAATGTCATGGCAATTACGTTATTCTTTCGCTTGTGATTAAACCTACGAGCCCTTTGCATTTGCACAACAGTTAACCGCTCGGAAACGCTGTTATCTCGAAGAGATGTTATAAAAAAAATCCTTTGCTCTCGGAACCGATCGACAATTAACGAGGTCGTCAAGTTCGGTCGGTCGCGATATTCTTTTGGCCGCGATCCAATTCGATTAATTATGAAACAGATACGCTTTTCTCTCTCGAGAACCTGGCAACTCGTCTTTTAATTGGATCGTCGTGTGCCGCGGCACAGTGCCCAGCGGAATCACCTCAAATTTTCTAGATCGCTAAAGATACACGATTGACAAAGAAGCAACGTTGCCCCGCAATGCACTTTTATATTTCATAAAAGCGCTGCACCTGCACACCGGGACGCGACGTGATTATCGATCGGGCGCAATCGCGTGAATTAATTCCCCCGTCGTTGCCGCGCGCATCTTCTTCTCCAATCTGTGTGTCCGCCGAAGTCGATAAAAATATCGCAACGATACTTCAGTTTTCTCTTTTCTTTTTTTACCTTCACGCATCGCGCGATCAGTTTTCTACTTTATCTCGCAAGAATATATTACAAATAAGCGCAAAATTTTATCGTAAAATGCGAAAGATCTCGATCTCGATCGAGTTGCTTTAAGAGATGCGTAAGTTGTTGAAACTCGATTGCCGAAGAATTTAATCTTGGTTATTTGCTCGGTACAATTAGACCGCGCGGTCTGCAGCTGTACCATCTTTCCTCGTGTATCGAACGATGAGGCTCGTATACAATATCGTCTATCCCGAACAAACCACTTGTGAAAACGCTCGAATCGGCAGTTGTGTCAGAAATTATAGCTAAAAAGCTTTACTTTACAGAAAAACAACACTGTGCAAAATTTCTTGATGTTTTCTGTTTCGCATAACAGAATGACAAATATCTTTATTTGTCCGATTGTTTAGACGATTTAATCTAATTACTTGTGCGTGTAACTAGAAATATCAATTAATATCTATAAATTTTCTCTTAATGCTGACAATAATAAAAATTGAATCAAGTAATTACGTTTCCGTATATTTTCGTAGCCAATTTTATATAATTTAATTTGTTCCACATATCGCGGAAGTCATCTCGACAATTCTAACTGATGAATAGCGTAACAATAACCTGCAATCGAATCGTAATTGCTTCTTTTTATTGATTTCGTTATTCGAAGCCTATTCACATTCCGACGTACTTGAGCATTCTATTTTTACAAGTTGCAACACATACGGGATAAATTTCGGAAATTCGAGTAAAATTGTCAATAAAGATTTATTTAATTTCAGATATCACTTTCAGAGAAAAATATATCTAGAAAAATGCGAAATATTGCGAATCGACAATCTCTGAATGAACACAACGTGCTCATCTCTTTTTTTATGAGATTATAACTCACGCAACTAAACTATTGTCTCGTTAAATTACAAAATGGCGTAAAAGAGAAATGAATGTCAGAAATAATAATATTCTCATTAGGCGGCAGAGATATATATATATATATATAAATCTTACTCGCGCTATTAAATCAACGATACTGTAAAACTCGAGGAAAATTGCGGTAGAGTTTAGTCCAAAAAGAGAGATATAATAGATCGAACAAAATCTGACACAAAGAAAGTCTCTACTTTTCTGAATTCACGGAATATAAGTAACACAAAGCGGTATCGATTGTAATTTTCGTAATTCGATCAATACCTATTGTTGTTTTTTTTTACAAATAGAAACTATCGATCAGTCGCACGCGATTGTTTGAACACGTTAATGATATTCCATGAGTTCAATTGTTGTCATCGAAATAATAATCTCATTTCGTGTCTTTATTAATTAACTAATACGATAATACACAAAAAGCCGATATGTAAATGATACAAATAAACCTCGAGATAAAAAAAAATAAAAATAAAAATAACAAAACAAACACAAGCACACAAGGCTTTGAAGCACGAAGTTTATAGGGTTAATCGAGCAAAAGAGGTTCTTTTCTTGTGTTCACAGCACAAATGGGAGAAAAACCAAAACGTTCATATATAAAGCAATTCAATTTCATTTCACGACGTGTATCTCGTAGACAATGATTAATATATATTTATAATAAATATAAATATATATATCCGCTAGAGGTTTCAACGTCAAATCAATTGCGCAACAATCTCCCTCCCCTGAAACTTCGGCTCTCCTGACATACATTGTAATCCGAAAGTAACTAGTGTACAAGTGCAGCACGCTAATTACATCAAATTAGCAAGCCATCTCTCCATTGCCTCTTCGCTACGCTATTGAAAGCGGAGGAGCGAGAAAGAAAATAACCGTATTCCACTTTGGACGACGTGTTCCACTTCGGATACGCCGCGCGTACTGGCGTCTGAAGTAGGCGAGCACGCGGAAGAGAGTGATCATTAACTCCGGGAAAAGAAAGCACACCGTTATTATTATGCTCGCGATCGGACGCGATCGTGCAAGAAAAAAAGCGCTGCCTCGTTGAAGACCCCTTTTACTCGATCCACCGAGCGAATTTGTTCCTAAAAAACTGTCTATCCTCGCGTGTGTGAGAGCCCTGCCTTCTACGCCACCATTAACAGACCGACTTTCGATCTACTCGCTACACCTCGAGAAGCGGTTTTCTAGCGTTCTGTTGATTAATCGCTTTTTTTTTAAATATTTTTTTGTTTTTTTTTTTGTCGAGCCGGTTGACGTTACTCGCTCGGCCCCCGTACCTTGGGCAGATCGCCCCTGTTGCTGTCTTCACTGCTCGTGAAGGTGCTAGAAGTGTCTATCCCGGAGTCTTTGGTCGCGCTGTCTTGGCTACCCTGCCGATCGGCCTCCCAAGACCATTCCTCCTCCTGAGAGCCGCCGACATTGGTCCCACCGTCAAAACGCACTGTCTTTTTCCCCCTCCTCTCCGTGAACCTGATGGACACGCCACATACAGAGACACGATGGGTGGGTTGGTGCGTGTGTGTTATCTGTCGTATTACGCTGTACGTGATATTCCGATTTTCGCGCACCCGAGTGATCGAGATCACCGTGTGACCCGACGCGCTCGACGATCGCATGACCGACGAATGTAATATCGTTTCGCCTCCCGGCAATTGCTTCGCCACTCAATCTTCTCCGGATGGGAATTCGTTGGTCAAGAACTTACTTTCGATATATAAATGTAACTTAGATACAAGCCCGGCTAGATTCGATATCTTTTCCGAAGTTTTCGTCAAAAATCTCGATAATACAAACAATAAATTTTCGATCAAATTCGACTTTGACATTTGATAAAGTTTTCTAAATTTAAATTTAAACAAAGTAACAATTAGGGAGAAATAATATTAAAACAATTTGTTTTTCTTAATGAATAAAATAGCTCAATTCTTTTTCTATATTATGAAAAAAATCGTTAAAACAAATTCGAAACTTCGCGATCGCGAATTTTGACCGAGGATTCTTGCGAGAACAAAGATTTTCGTTCTTTCGCTCCCGAATTCACGATTTCGGTACGTTCGCGAGATCAGTGAGAAAGTGAGAAAAAAGCAGCGCAATCGTCAGTCTCTTGAAACGCACCTCCTACTATCGGCGCGCCACTCGTCGCCGCACCTTCGGAAACTCCGTCTGACAAGAGTGCTCTCTTCTTTTCGCGGCTCTCGCGGTGGATGATGGCCGTTATGCTCGATGACCATGCTCGCGCCCGCACCGTGGTACCCATTGTGGGATCCGTTGTGCCTACGCCCACTGGACATCGATTTCGGACCTCCTGTGTGGTGGTAGTATCCCTTCCCTACAGTAGATCCAAAACGTTTCGTATTTTGTTTTTCTCTTTTTTTTATTTTTATTTATTTTTTTTTTTTTTACGATTGATCGTCTTTTTTCTCTCTCGACGAGCACACACACACAAGGATGTTCAATGTATCGCAAATCTTTAACTATCTAGCTACTACAATTCCGACGTTCACTTTGCTTCTCTTCGTCTCAAAGAAGCGTCTCTTCCCCCGCGAGGTCTCCTCTGGTTTCCTCTCTCCGTATTATTTCTCGACCGTTTCTAAAAATTTTCTCTTTCCTCGACGATCGTGTTGTTAAAGTCCTATCTACACACCGAAAACAGAGAACCGTGTATATCACGTTTTTCCGAGATTATCCCATTCTTATCACGAAGTCGTGGCACCTTCCTGCAACGTTTTCGCCGTTCGCCTGTCCGGCGTGCTCCTCGTTTCCTTCTGACACGCGTGTTAAAGAGCTTTCGTGTGTGCGTTCTGTGTGTGTTGCGATATATATATATATATATATCCTAACGGAAATGAGATAAGGCAGCGGTGCAAGCTTGCCCGCGATAAATGTGCGATAGACGATGTCTGAAGCGTTAAGTAGAACCGTATACGTCTGAATTTCTGCCTACACGCGACTTGGCCGAGAGAACGCTATATGTACGACAACGCTATGCGTAAATATGTGCAGGGTTGTTTCTCGTGAGTGTGATTGTGTGTGTACGTGTGCGCGTACGTGCATGACGGTAATTACAGTCTTGGGCGAGAGAGACGTCCGTCTAGAGTTCTGCATTTGGGACGCTTTTCTCTGTTTTCCTGGGACACAGCAGGATTTTAGTGGTTACATAGACTTTCGTCCGTGACAACACAGAACCGGGCGAGACACAGAACATGAAATTATATAGTATAGACAAAAGATGTACAAGATTCACTTTGGCTTCTGTATTTTGCATAATTCTCATCGCGCGCGTTTTTCCAAATATATACGCAAAGAGCAATAAAATACACATGTTCTAACATTTCTCTCTCTCTCGAAAATAGCGCGTTCATCTCAACATCAGTTGTGTGAGAAGTATAATTTGCGATTTTTTTTTTACAGATGCCAAAGAACAAGCGCTGTTCAAAAATCTCAACGCAATGAAAAATACACAAAAGAAAACATAAGACACAATAAAGTCCCAAGTCTTATAAAAATGTAACGTTGCACCATCCCCGACGAATAGAAAATAACCTACGGTCTATGCAGATATCCAAAATGTGTGTTTGTGTATGTGTGTGTATGTGTGATGTATAGCGAGCGAAATGGGAAAATTTCGAGAGGCGGAATATTTGTGAGAGTTCATTGTGTATGTATTTTGAGAGAGTAAAGTGTAAATAAAAATATACCTGTGCACGATTCATATAGCCGTCCAAAGTAGAACAAATAAAATCTATTAACAATTCCGCCGAACGGTCGCATCGCGCGCGACGTGCGAGCTTATTTTTCGCTACGAGTACGGAAAGAAGACACACACAGAGGATTGCATTTTCTCGTGGAAAAATTTTACTTTGGCTGCGTGCGCGCGCATTATTCCCGCGATAATGTTACCCCGGATGTGCCCCGAGGGCACAAAGAGACAGTTTCCCGCGAAATACGAGATAACGCAAAAGAATTTCAAACGCGATTAAGCGCGGAAGGTATGTTTTCGATAAAATGTAACTTGAATGTTAAATTAACAAAGAAAAACAGAGTGAAACAAAAAAAGAACAATTATTAAATTCCGCTAGGTAGAGAACTCGACGTAAAATGCACAAAAAAATGTAATAAACGATGTAACCGAGCTATGGACGGAAAAATCTTCGAAACGGAATCAGAAAGGGCAAGAATTTATCGATCAATTTTGCTTGTGATATATACGCACGACCGTTCGGCAGATACGTACACACACATGCACACGCATACGCACAGATATACATATTATATATATGTATATGTAAGTATATATACATACAATAGATATATATGTGTAGCGAATCAATATATAGCGAAAGATGATTTGCTTTGTGTGTATATATTTTTTTTATGTAATATAAAAATTATTAAGTACCGCGGGAAATTGCCGATTCATTCTGTCCGCCGCCTTCTCCCGGGAGCCCCTGGAAGTCATCACTAGCGGCGATGGCTTTTGTCCTAAAACCCGATTTCCCTTTAACTACATATTGCAACACACTGTTCACTTACGGCTATAATCGCGAAATAATAATCGCGGCATAAATTCCGCTGCTGCGACGTTGTTGTTTCGTCCATGTGAGAACTAAATGTGATAATAGATGACACTTCGATGTAGAACATATGGGAAGTACAGAGAAACATCTGTGCAAAATTTCGTGCTGTTCTCAGTGTGTTTAAACATAACGTTAGATCATAGAGAGAAGGTAACATGATGGTACAGAAAATCTGACACGAGGATGCAACGAGGTTGAATCGACGCGCACATCTGTGAAATAAAACAATTGCACAAGATAAATGAAATTAAAAGCGCAATTAATAATTCGACTATTCTCGATTACAATGAGTGATGTTTTGTTAATCAAACACTACAAAAACATTACGAACGATGATTTGACGCAAAAGTTTAGAACCATTCCATTAGTTGTGATTTAAATTATTTTGCTGAAAAGAAATACATCATTAATTTTCTCGTAGTTACAACTCCCAAGAAAAGAGATGTGGAGAAGAAGTCTAGAAAAGTCTATGTAATCCGTGAAGTGCGCGATAAAGTTTCGTACACGTGGGTAATTGGTAATACGATCGTCACGAGAGAGCGCCCGTATATCATTCAACGACGTATTCCTATATTCTCCGGCGCGGCGATATGCATTTTGATATTCCGGGAATCAATGCGACATTACAGCACAAACGACGGACAATAAAAGCAGAAGTGACACCGTCGCAGAACCATTCCCGTTCGCGATCGCAAAGACGCGTCACAAAGAAATTTGTTCAGTCGCGAAAAATTTTCGAGCGTCGACGTTCAAAGAAATTCGAACTTAATTGCATACACTGTGTGTGTGTATCGTACGCGCGCAAATTGCAACCAAGTTCGCGCGACAAAGTTGCGAAGTAAAAGAAGAACCATCGCGTTGCGATCTACGTACCGTCGTCTCAAAGCGACGTCCTATGCATAAAAGAACGACGAAGCGTCGTCGTCCCGCGCGTCGTTCTCGCAACGCTACGCAAAAATGAGGACCTTCGAGCAACGTGTCGATGGGCGTTTAAGCGCGGGTTTTTCAAGTAGGCGGAATAGTTACGCATCCGCGAGTACCTGGCGACGCGAACGTGGCATTTTCTGCACGACGCTCACGTGGGGTAATAAATAGAAAGACGCGCGCCGCGCTAGAACGCGAGAACGGAGCAGTAGCAGACGTCGTTATAGCGAACCGCTCGCTGCGCGCAGAAAAGAAGTCGCGCGCGTCGGGGGAGAAAGAAGTGCAGAGAATCTTAATTTAAAAGTTAGATGACACCCCGACTCACCGCGTATAAATCACTCGGATTTTACCACCCTATTCCCGGCCACCTCACGCCCGCTTTTGCGCCGCCGTCGTCGGTATCTCGTTTGCGCTCCTATTTCTCGTAAAAAAAAAAAAATGTTCTCCAAGCTACGGAAGTTCGGCGCGCGAGGAACACGGATAAAACCGCGCTCATTACTGAGATAACAAAATTGGGTAAACTCGAAATGCCGAGAGAGAGAGAGAGAAAGAAAAAGAGAGAGTGAAAGAGAAAGAGAGAGAAAGAGAGAGAGAGAGAGAGAGAGAGAGAGAAAAAGAGAGAAAGAAAAAGAGATTGTCTCTGCTCGCCATCTCGTCGCCGAAGCGTGATCGATAACGGGCGAGTGAGATTTTTTTAGATATTACGACATTTAAGCGTATTACTATGACATCAAATTACGCTATCAGCAGATGTGGGGGAACGGATTATGCGATTCCGGATTATGGAATGTGCAGCGTTGTGAGTGCTGAAAACAATGATCGCCGAAATCTTCATTTTTTTTGTAATTTCGCTGAAAAATGTATATGTAAAGTATAAAGTAACATATATAAATATATATGCGTGTGTAATCGGTGAAAACGAGATTTCTTAAAGTCTAAACAAACCAAGTTGCCATCAAACCGAGTGTGTGTTTCTCTACTAGCAATTAATTTGACCCCTCAAATATTTTCCCCCGGTTTCTTTCCCGGTTCTCCTCTCGCGGAAGATGAGTGTCCCGCCGTTTCCGCGGATCCTCGTTAAAACGAGCAATCGCCCGAGCAACGTATGGAACACACGCTACAAACTTACCTCTCTGAAGCTTCTACAAACTAATTCTCTATTCTCTAATTGTATTGTGCATCTCTACGAATGGGAGCAACAACACCACCGTCGGGCTAGCCCGTCACTTCTCTCTCGCGCGACGTACTTGTACGCGTATATTTAAAGTTGCGATTCTCACGGATCACTCGCCGTTACTTGATCTTAATCTACGATTGCATCGCTCGCAAAAATCATCATGTGTTCGTCGGACAAAATTCAGTTATGCACACCTGGTCTTTGGATACGCGTTTCACTGCCAGATGCTTTTATATAAATACACGTACAGTTCTTTTTATATCGATTAATTTTAACTTTAATTCATCTTATTCTGTTCTAAGGAAAAACGTTGATAGATTAAATTGAAGTTGATGGTAATCGATATCAATCACAGATCTTGTTCGAACTGTGCAATCGATCATCCAATGCTTCCGTTTATATAATAAAAGAATCGAATAAGAAAATTCATAAAACACTACACTTTTCCTTTTATCGAAAAAATATAAATAATAGGAAAAAAATAAACTGGTGATGGTGACTGCATACATATATTATCGCTTTTATTTTTTTGAAGCGTTAAAACGGGTCGTGCGTCACACAGGACGACACGATGCGTATCTTTTAATATATTAGTAATTTCTACGGAGAGCGGGTCATATCGCTTGATCCTCCGTGTTTATTTCAGACTATCGCACGGTCTAGTGCAATGATCAAGAGAACGTATCATGCAGCGACGTAACATATAAACAGTCAGTCTAGCGTGTCTCCTCCGACAGGAATAAACGCGAAGGAGCGGACGCGGGATCAAAGCCGCACTCCGCAAAATTTAACAGGGGTTGGTCGGCTATTTGCATCGCCGGATATGCGGCCAGGCGCGTGTGTACAACGCCCACATAATCAATGCATTTATATAAAGCCGCAGCTGGACGAATCAGAAAAGAGAGAAAGAGAAAAAAAGAGAATAAGTAAATGATATAAACGTAAGTGAAACGCCACAAGCCGCTGAGTCTCATTAGTCTCGAGAAGTCACTTTTGTTTATTTTTACGCAGCAGGAGTTTAATGTTTCGGAAGATACAAAATTGTGATTTGCGCAACCCTCAACCGCGTTCTCCCTCTCATTGCCCCGGCGTTTACTTTTCCTCCGCGATAGATTTAGCAACGCGTTTCTTACGTAAGAAGCTAATTTCGATGCGCGCGCAGCGTTAGATTTACGAGGAAGTAAGAAAGTTCATAATAAAAAAAANAAAAAAAAAAAAAAAAAAAAAAAAAAACGATCACGGTGCCGAAGCCTTGCTCGCCCGACCGTCAAATTGCAATGTCTTCGGATTAAATTTATATGAATCTGTCTAGTCCCGCATTCTTGCCGCCACCCTCCCACTGACAGCCACCCTCTTACTCCTTCTCCTCAAGAAAGTTCCTGTCTTGTAAGTACGAACTGCCGGTGTATAAAAACGCCGTTGCAGATGCTGATGTAACTACCGGGAACGGTATTTTTCTCGTTTGCCACGGGTGATCAATCATAAAAATGGCCGGCGCGCACATCGCGCGCGGGATGAATCGGTCGTCCGACTACACTCTGTAAAACGTGTCGCAAAACAAACGTAACAAATGTAATGTGCGTCGGTGTTCTCATAGGTTGACGCGAAAAGCGTACACTCGCGCGCGACACGCAGTTGTTTCATCGCCGCGGGGAAGAGAAAATGTCAAAGTTACCAGCCTCTGTTCATAAGTAACGAGCTGGGATGCGGGAGGGCACGCCGGCCGATTGTGTTCACGTGATCTTCATAGTGCGCTCCTGATGACATTTCGCGTAACCCCGTTTCATGTTTTATTATTATTATTTTTTTTTATTAAGAGAAAATCAACTCGTGTTGGTGCAGTTTGACGTTGCAGTTGAATTGACTGTAAAAGCGCGCTTGAACAAATATTTATTTTGACCTCTCTCGTTCATTGAAGAGCAGTAAGAATGCGTAGTAGTGCGCGCGCACGTCCCATCGAAAATAGCGAATTATCTCTCCGAGAGCGAATAGAAAAAAAAAAAAAAAAAAAAAAAAAAAAACCTTCGGCACTCGGTACGCGCTAACGAGACGAAGGGTCCGGAGTGCACTCATAAATTCAGACGCTGGAAAGAGAAGAAAATGATTTCGAGGATAATCGCTCGATGGGTCAGCCAGCGGAGAAAGAGTGCTGAGCCCTTGAGCCGGCTCGATTTTTCTGGCTGAGACCTGGATAGAGGTCGAAGACTAGCCAGAAACGAAGAAGGGGCAGATGTTTGAATTCGCCCACGTGCTGGCCGTGTGACGTCACGTCCCAGCAGCGTGTGGGTGTAGCGAGCGGGAGAGGCGCCGAAGAAGGAAGAAGAGAGATAGAGGGTGGAAATAGAAAGACTGCGATGCGGAAAGAGAAAGAGAGAGAGAAGCGAGCAGAAGGGTGGAAGGGTGAGCGAGAGGCGAGGGGATGCCAAGGATCAATGCAACGGCGCGAGACCGGGAGGGCAGAACCTGAGAATTCCCGCAGGATCGCGACGCGATACGGGACCGCGATATACGATCGCGAGAAAGGTTCCGATCCTGGATTTAACGACGGTGATTGAGATACCCCTCGCTCAGTTGCCTCGATCAAAGGTGGTGTACGCGCATGGTGTGTCAAGTCGATATCTCGCGGAACGATCGCTGGAAAATTCGAAGAACATCGCGCGAGCGAGCGCTCTCTGATCATTACAAACTCGATAACGTACGCATCAAGTTATATAATGTGACACTGTACGTTATTGTATACAAACACGTAATCCGCGTGAAAATTTATTGAGATTTCCGCGATTGTATTTTTTTTTATTCGTCACAGTCTTTTACGCTACTCTAAGTTCGCGCGTCAATATCGCGTCTATAGATACATTAATGTTATTAGCGATTTAATAACAAGTATTTGAACACGCTCGATTGATACTTTTTTCCATGAAAATGTCGTATAGTGTTTTATTAAAGAGATTATATGTACTATCGACACATAATTCGATGATTTGTAAAGTGTTATATTGAAATTTGCGTGACAGGTTTTTATTTTTGTTTATCTGATGTAGAACCTCGATGTGTTCGACCTTCATCATGGAAAAAGTGGTGCGCGAGAGGCACAGTACAAGTTATTCCTGTCCTCTCCGAGCTACACCCCACAGATGCGCACCTGGATGAGCCCCGGTTCACAGTTCGCCGATCCCACGTTTAATCAACTGTGAGAACCGCATGTATACGTACCGTGTACAAGTTCCCTCACCTTCCACCGATTTTTGGAACCAGACAAGACATTGTACGAAAACAAAACGCGAGGTAAATTCTTTTTTCTATTTTAGTACAATGAATTAAAATCAAGCTAAAAATTTGCAAAACATTTGCTTACAATCTACGTACGACTTCTCTTCTCCATTTGTAACGCGACCGCAATCGTGAAATAAGTCTTTTAAAACAATGTCTAACTAACACCTGTTACAGGAGTAAAATGAATTATATGTAATTGAAAATAAATCAGTGTTGTTATTGTAAACATCGACTTTAACTACATCAAATCACATTAAACGTGATATAATTGTGATCGAGATGTAATTATATTTTATAAATGCGTACACGTTGTTATAATCAATCACGAGCATTGGATCGATCGATTACACTTCCCTTAACCGCCTTGTCTACAAGTATCGTGACACGAGCACGCGTAAACCAAATATCTATTGACATGGAAAGACTAGGCTTTCCTCGTGCATCGACTTTCAAGGTCAAAGCCGACCCTCCCAATCAGTTCTTCCTGACGTTTCCATCGTGCACTTTGAAGTAAATTTTGCGACGACTCATTGCCATTGCAAGTTTTACACATTTACGAGAAATATTATCATAAAAAAAGTTTGTTTATCAGTAAACTCTATCACAAAAAATAAATTCAAAATATACTTCAGTAAATACAATTTTTATATAATAATATTAATGTAATTAAAACCGAAGTATTTTTGTTATTTATCCGCTTGTTGTTTCAATATGTGAATTTACTCAGAATCGCTTTTGAGCGATAAAGGTGTAGTTAAAATTAAATAGGAATATGAGCTGCAGAAAAATCACTTACCCTTTTCCGACTCGTCCGGCTCGTCACTGGCGCACTCCGGTGTGCTACGTTCTTCGTCACTACTACTGAAACTTCTTTGCTGCTTGACGCCCACCGTTGACGCAGGTTGCGCGGAACGTCCGACTTGCGTCTGATGCATCGAATGCTGCTGAGAGAGATGCATTGTAGTGCGAGCGGAACCAGTTTCCATCGGCGTCTGACCATAAGTCATTCCGAGGTCTGCACTCTGATCCTGCATTACGTAAAATAACCGACGACTTATAAAATTAAGTAGTGCAATAACATGCGTTTAAAAGAAATGTTATTTATAGAAAGTAAAACAGTATTTTATATCTTGCGAAAAAAACACAATTTTATTAAATATAAAATTTTATAAATATATAAGCTGGTAATAACAGCTTCTTAAAATATTAAATAAAATATTATGCAAATGAAATATTATATAAATTTAATTTAAGTGTTACGCGATCTCATGATTCTCATGATTTCAGCAAGATTCGATTCTTCGATGAGGTCAGTTTTCTTACTTGATAGGTCGGCCGTTGCCTCTGATAGTTTGAATGTTGTTTCATCAGACCGTCGATCTCGCCTCGGTATAGACTGGGATCATCGTCGGGGTAAACTGCGGGGTGTCTCGGAATTTGTTGCACCGGATAAGATCCTACGATTCCTACGTGAGGTGTCGGTAGGGATCTCGCGTGAGGTGAAATTGACATTTCCACTCCGCTGTCGCTCGTGGACATTCGGCGACCCGTGATCTGCAACCACAAAAACGAGTTCACTGAGCGTGACGGTGTATACAATACTTGGCGAAGGCGCGGGCTGATCTCGCGGTTGTGACGGTAATGTGCCTCGACCTCCTTTCCGTTCGTAAATAACTAAAATCGAAACGAGGCGAGATACCAAGATGTGTGAAATATTGCCAACTTATCACGACACACATAATATATTCTACATATTTATAAATTTAACAGATCGGTGGCGCGACACGTACGTGTGTGTGTGTGTGTGTGTGTGCAAAGTGTCTACTTTGTAAATAAAAGAGTGCGTTCCAACTAGAATATCGGACGAACGAGAGAAATGTTACCTGCTCTTGCTGTGAGTACTGTCTCCTGAGAGGACAGTTTCCGCTTCTCTGTAATAACGGCAAATTCTCTTTCTCAGCCGCGCTGTGCGCCCTCTCGAGTTTCGGTCTTTTATCCCGAGTTTGGTCCGCGAGTCCCTGATGACCACCCACCTGCAAGTCTTCCTGCATTTGTCGCAGCAGCGCGTTGTCCACGGCACCGAGACCCGTCTTCGACATCCATTGTCCGGTCTTCGAAAGAAGTTCCTGCTTCTTCCGACAAAGTATGCACACCCATATCACCTGCAATCAGAAAAATAGAGTTCCGCGTCGAGCGATAAAAATAGCACGACGACGCTTGTAGTTCGACATAGCGAGGACGTATTTTTAGAAGTTCATGCACTTAAAAGAAGAACCTAGACAATATCGCTTTTTTTCACCGACTATTGTGAGAAAACGAAGGCGCGAAATTTAATATCTGTCAAGGGAAGAAATTATCTTAAAGCAATTTCATTCGGGTCAGCGCGTGCGCGACAAAGAAATATTAATAATAATAATATATTATTTCGAAATGTTCTCGCTCTCTCTTACGGAAAGTCGACCGATTATTAATAATCCAACTGCAATATACGCAACGGAGAATTGATCAGAGAAGCAAAACACAGCGTGTCATTCGAGCGAGTTGTTTTTTGCAACGAAGTCTTCCTCACGGAGTTGAAAATATACGGCGAACACCAGGTCAAACAAATGCGATGAATATTTGGAACAATCAAGTCCGCTCCGCTTTGAAGGGTTTAAAATCTCGCTTTGCCTTACGCACACATACAGAGAGTAAGAGAAATTGTAAATTCTTCTTTAACGAAGTCTCTTCGTCTCCGGGACCAGGCCGTTACCTCAAGCGATATTCTTATGCAAATCCACGCGGATCCGAGTAACGTTAAATTAAATTGAGCAGATCCGAAGGCGAAGCAGAAGTGTAACAAAAGAAATCTGCTTGTAGAAGTACGCACACAACATAATTAGAGGATGGTCGTACGCGCGTAAACTCTTTCGCGGTTTTGTTTTTTTATATTAGCAAAAGAGAAGAATTCTTCTTTGCGACCTTCACCATCGTCGCGAACATTTGCATTTATAATAAATAAAATAGACGAATACGCTCGAAATTGAATCACTCTTGACGTATTTCTCACAAAACAAAAAAGCATTTTATTTTATTGCACGAAGAAAATGTATCGATACTCTTAGATACGACAGTTGCATCGGACGTAATAGAGCTTCGTAATTACCGAACTATCGTTACTCGAATCAAACAGTTTGCGCCGTGTGAATATGAGCTATATATAAACTAGAATATTTCATCAAGATAAAGAGTGATGGATGAAGCGTTTAGCAGCAAACTGCAAAACAATGCCTATGCGAACTCTCATCGATAACAACACTACAACTTTGCTGCCCATATTCCTGCGTTGCAGCATTGAGACAATCACGTGATAGAATCAGACGTACGACGTTACCAAATAATGCGGCAACTCGCCGTATCTCCGAGAAAAGAGATAGATATTATTACACACACACACACGAAAGAGTTAATTGCTTTACTATTTACGAGAATTTAAAATATTAAACGTAACTTAACGTCAGGCATGGCAAACTTTATTACAGTTTGACGATGAATCGTTCAGAAGTAATGTAAGTACTTGTCAACCTACTTGTTTGTTTGAGGGACCGCGTGCTGGCACGTGATTTGATATCATAAACTTTACCTTCTCTCTTCTATTTAAGCGCCACGTCAAACTCTGTATATCGAAAGAATACAAACGTTGATTGCAGTCTGCGCGAATAAAATCGCGCACTGTAATTCTAATGAACGCAACAATTTTTATAAACAACAACAAGTTATAAATTAAAGACCGTGCGGAGGCGACGCGACTGAGTGAAACTCTTTCACATTTATTGATTTTGGTAATAACGACATCTCGACAAAAGCGACACTTTTTTTTCTGCCGTTTAGTTACAAACGCAAAATGTGTAAAACTACATGTTCGTGTCAAATTTAATGGTAGAATAAGTGTAGAATATACCACAGGCGTGATGTACAAGATCGCTATTTCTGCGGAAGAAAATGTATTTGGCCATTTGGACACGTTTCTCTAAATGTTTCCTCAAGAATTATCGGAAACCTTTCAACGTCGTTCTCTCTGTAGCGGGATAATAAATTTAGTGTTTGAGAAAAAGAAGAAAACTTCCAAGAAACGTAGTAGTCCGTGGGCAAAGACGCGTACGGAAAGCAGCGGATGTACGATCTTACATACCTTGATTTATTATCTCACCGTGACATTCCTCTCTTTTTCTCTTTCTCTCTCACATCGCGAGACGAATTTTCGGACGCATCGATCGACGTTTCGCACGTGCGAACGATTGCGTGCTCGAGCAAGTCACCGCTAACGAGATGACTTCATCGGTACCGCGGTGCAGACTGACGGTCTGTAAGAAAAGTATCCTCGTCGAGAAGAGAGAGCGACAAAGAGAAAAGGAAGCCAGACGAGAGAAGAAGCACAGCGGCAAAGATAGATGCGGGCGGGAAGAACTTGAAGAGCACTTCGTTGAGTTGCCTAGGTAGCAATATGTCAAGAGGCTCAACCCCTTACCGCCGCGATCTCTCCTCGCCCCGCCGACATCCTTCGTTCTCCGAACATTTCGTACGTACGTGCACGCTTATCTCCCTTTCGACTTTTCGCAAAAAAAAAAGAAAAAAAATATGAAGATTCTCGAGCTGTATCGCGCGCTCGTCGGTTCGCGCGACGATTCAAGAGAGCTGTGCTACAGCATTACGTGCTCAGTCGTAAATGTCCATTAATTTAGTGGATCGGCCCGCGCCAGTGATTTGCATTAATTAATTAGGGGCCAATTAATTCAGATTACTTTATCACGACGCCGAGTACGAAGCCAGCCAAGGCAGACAATGATGACACACCGACATCGTCATCAGCGACGACGACGACGACGACGACGACGTCTCGATACTCGGAACACGAGAAAACGATCGATAACCGAGCTCGTACAAGTCAATCCGATAAGTCACTACGACGTCGACGATGCACGACACGTAATATTCACCGGTGATTCACGTAATTCTTTCTTGTATTGAAACGTTTGTATTATTGCAACATTATTGTTTCGACTTTTGTTTGTTCGATCAATTCGAAATAAACCGAAAACCATGTAAGTCACCGAGCCCAAACTCTCAACATGTTTCTGCCTTCGTGAACAAAACGTTGTTTCTCTCTCAAACAAAATACATTTATACAGAGACACAGTCAGGAAACAAAAAAATATCGCACACCGACTATCTTTATATTGCCGGCAACCACCTGATGGATGAGAAAACATACATGGTCGCAACAAAAAAAAAAAGAGAGTAAACAACGAGAAATAGACCACGACGCTAATAACAGTTAAAGGATTTCGGTGGTTGAAACAACAACGTCTCTGTATAGAATGACATCCGTACTTAAGCCACCCTTTAAACCGGAGTGGAGCTCGCGCCGGGTGCAAAGCTACCAGTAAGGCATCGTATCGAGGCACTTTGGAAGACCAACCCGGAATCATGCTCGAGCATAATACGGACGAAGTACGTAGAACGGAGAAACGTGCACAAGCCCGGCTTTCGTAAATGATGGCCAAGCCTTTGAAACAAGCTGACGCAATTACAAAGTGCTCTCTCGTTTTAGAAATCAGTTTGCACACACGAAATTGGGAGAGTTTCAAATGGCGCTACGAACGGGAGAACTCTCGCGAAGATTAACGCACATTATCTTTTGCCACTGTCAATTGTCAGTGAATTATCCGTAATAATTATTCGAATGCTAAACCAAGAGATAAACATAACATTCATCACGTGAAAAAAAACAACTTCTTTATCTCTTTCTCTAAAATTTGAAAAATCATTGCAAAAGATTAAATTACAATAAATTACAATCGCCTAAATTGTCGTGTCTCTTGTTCAAAGACTTCAAAAATCCCACTGGTCCTCGTACGACGAAGATCGCGAGGAAAAAAGTTTACGAACGCAATTTCGCCTACTTACTTCCCTTTAATAACTTTGACCTCTGCACTTTTGCATCTCTCCGCCGATAGGAGGCATAGATTCGTATTAGCGTCAAGGGCTTATATACTTTGTCTAGCAAAACTTTTCAGGTGTCCTACATGTAGAACGAGAGGAGAGAGTCGTATTTCTCCCGAGTCGTTGCTCCTCCACGGCGGCGAGAGTCAGTTGAGTGATGACAGATTGCTGCCCCGCAAATCAAAACGAGAGAGTACTGGGTTCTTAGCGAACTTTCGATCGTTTGCTATATCTTAATTAAAGACGAGTGTGCACGTTTAACAAAATTTGTTTACAAGAGTCTCGAGATGCGTAATAAAACATTAAAAAACACAAAGAAAAAATAATTGAATAAAAGCTGCTGTCAAATATATAATTTTACAGAACAAATTTTTATTCGTATTAATATTTTGTATTTTTTTTAATTTTATCGAAACAAAGTTTTAAAATCGTGTTTTTTCTAAGAGACATTTTATCAGACTTCTCTGGAAAAAAAAAATATCCTAGCGACATCGAGGGGACTATGAAAGTAAATAAGGTGTATGTGTGTGTGTGTGTGTATATATATGTATTGATCATTGCAATATATATTACGGCGTCCGCCCCAATCTTTTCGAGCGAAGAAAAGCAGCGACCGTAGAAAATCATGAGCGACAGAACTACGGAACGATATCGTACGAATCTATTTTTAACGTTGACATCTTTGTGAGACGGAAAAGCAAAATAGGATAGAGATAGCGTTAATCGAAATTATACAATGGTCCCTATAATGGATAAAGCTCATAGATATACCAAAGATGCAAAAGGACGAAACAAGTCCTTTAATAACACATACGTTCGTATCGTCTCATACGTTCGCGATATATTTTCGAAACTACCCCGATACTTCCTGGTAAACAGTACAGAACCTCCCAGGGGTGATTTCTCGACGTTACAGTCCGTAGTTGCGACAATAAAGTATTCGGGCACAACCGATTTCGTACTGCGGGAGCGCGTGGTAAGTCGCGTTTCAAGCGTGGTATATCATCGGACATATAGTGTCCGACATGCTCGATAATTTCCAGAGAAAGAGCCGCTGGTTCAAAGCGTAGATAAACAAAATGGTTGCAGAATGGCTCGTAAAACCACGCGTACTCAGCTATCAACAGTTTTATTATGTCACTTTTTTTTGTATCAGTTGCCATTTGAGTATTATGGATTTTTCTGTTATTTTTCTTTTCAACCAGAATGCTTCGCACGTATTTGCAACAATTCCAGTTTTTCAAATCATGCAGCTAATTATTTTTTTAATTAGCTCTATCGTGAAAATGAGACAAATAACGATAACTTGAAAGAAATATAATTTTAATTGTATAATTACTATAATTAGGATTGTGCGATGAATATATTAATGAGATTGCGTAAATAAAAATTAGGTAAATATATTAAAACGTTCATTTCATGAATAAATAAAATTATGCGTATGTGCGCAAAACTTTTTCTCTCTCTCTTTTGTTTTAAATATATTTTTTCAAAAAATATCGCTTCTGTTTAACAATTTCACGCCGATCTTCGAGCCACGGCTGTCATTGTAAAAATCGCTTGTTCATGATATCCCACATCTTGTTATCCTAGATCTTCCCTCGCGATGTATCTCTCACTTCGAAACTCCCATCTTCGCCGTCTACTCTATTCTCAACCCCGCTTAAATCCCACCTATTCGCCGCGGCGGCGGGCGTCAAACAAGGACTTCGGTGTCTATCCGCTGTCTCCGCTGATGCCGCTACAACGCGGGAGAAAGGCGCGGCGTACATATCTCACAGGTGTATATTTATATATACATATATGTATAAAATTGCGCACACATTGAGAAAATTCGTCTCAGACAAGCGTAGATTTGATGGATGACGTATATTTTATTTCGCCTTTGCCTTCTTCTCGTGTGCCCACTCACCCTTCTCGTCTTCACCCCACCTCCTTCTTCTTCTCTTTCTCCTGCTCGTCTACCACGCACCCTCCCTACCAAACTTAGATCAATATGTTGCGTCATGTACCCCCGGCACGTCGCCCAACGTCTCACCGCCCGGCCACCCATTTCTCCGACCATCCCCTCGCACCCACGATCCCCGACCTCTACTCCCTCCCTCCATGTAAACCAGCGCCGCGAGTGACGTCACGCAGGGACGCGCCCCATTCATAGGCTCCCACGCAGAGTCCAGGCCGCAACAACGGAAAAAAGAACAGAGCGGAAAGAAAGAAACTGTGGAGCGACGAGCGGCGGCGGCGACAACGACGACGACGACGACGACGACGACGACGACGACTACGACGACGACGACGACGACGACTACGACGACGACGACGACGACGACGACGACAACACATACACAGACATAATAAGCGCGATCGCGAGGGTTGCGTATTATACGGCGACCGATATCGATTCGCTTTGAACGTGGAACATTAGACAGCTGTAATTTCGTTGTTTTTGCGACGACGATGCGGCAATTAAATGGCCGATCGCGAGCAAGGGGAAAAGATCCGTCGTTCATTCGAAGAAAAAGACACACATCTCTTTCCACTCTCACCCTAATAGCACTCCCACATAGTTTGCACACGCGGATCGATGGTACGTCGTAACGACGCTCGCTCACGATGACGTTTGTCATCGTACTTGCGTGTGGCCATGACGGAAGCGTGCGTGCGTAACGTGTGCGCGCACGTGTGCGCGCAACTCCGGGGTTTACTACAAAACATCCCCCGTCTACACCGGTACCTGTCTATACGTTTATGCGCGCCCGGCATTTCCGTGCCTGTTAAATTTTACGCGGGCGCGCTCGTGTGAGCGTCATTGATCTCTCGGCGCTCGGATTACTTTTAATAATCCGGAAAATGGAGTTTTTGTCTCCGCGCTGAAAGGGATGAAAGAGATGCAGAGATGCTCGCGAAAGATAAAAGCTATTATATATATATCCGTAGTATAGAGAGTTTTACGCGAAACGTCGCGCGCGCACACACACACACACACACGTATAAGCTTCACATGTATCGAGAAATATTGTCTGAATTTCCTTTTGATAATCATTTCAATATTAAATTCGTAATTTAGCTCGTCATGAAACTGGGTCATTAAATAAAACCAGAAGATAACGCGATAATCGATATAGAAATCAGAGTTACAGGCTAAAAATAAAGAAGAGATCTAATATTACATTTCTATTTACATGTATACGTGTGTATTAACATCTGTATTTATATTCAGCAGAATCGCGACGGAGGAATTGCGACTGTCCCTCCCACGTAGTCTCTCTCATACACGAGTGTGTCCGGGATCTTTGAATAACATAATTAAATAACTATATGTCACACACGTTCTTGCATTGAAACACATGATAACACACAGCGTGGCGGGGTATAAAGTGCAGTTCTATCCCGCGTCGTATGAAAATCAATAAAATGTTATTTCTATTTAGCACAGGATTATGTCCGGAAAAGACAGACGATTCGCTAAATCGATACTGTGTAATATCGCGCGAAGATAGAACGTAACCGATACCGAGAATAAGAATAATATTTGCGAATGTAGATAATCGCGTTAGAAACAGAACAGAGTGCAAATTCGACGAGCCTTTGTGTTTGCGAAAATCTGCGGATCTCTCACCGTGAGAGAAAGAGATAGATAGATAGATAGATAGATAGATAGATGTGCGGCAGATATAAAGCAAAGTTTTAAGAGCGCGCGCGCGCTCATTCCATCACCACCACCATTCCCCGTTATTCGTCGCGCTTGATCTCGGTCCATCTAACGTTAACCGGACGTTAATCTCTCATCTCCATCAATGAAAATCCGTCCGAAATTGCGCGAACGAGAAAACGTTCTTCTCCAATGCGGAACGGAGTGAGAGAGAGAAAACATACGCGCGTGGCGACGACGGCTATTTAGTGACGGCATTACGCCCACCGACGGTATACACATTAACGATAACGGTTAATTGGTGTTACCGGCAAGGAGATGAACACGACACGCTCGCTATAGGTCAATTATTCCGACGTATATGCCAAGTTTGAGCTCATCTACCTCCCCCGTCTGATGCTCTATACAGCCGGTTATCATCTTTTACGATATGAATGTTCTTAATTGTTTCCAGGAAGCTGACATTTACAGGCTGCTGCCGCCTACCACATTCTTGTCCGCTCGTGTGTCACGTTTCGATAACGCTATCCGCCCGCTAAATTCTACCCACGTCACAAATCGGAAGTTATCTCCGTACATTATCTCCGCTGTCGCGTTGTATGTGCATATACGTACGTAATAAGGTAATCGCAAAATTCCGCCTATAAACTGAAGGGGGAAATGATTCGCTCCGCATTCACGCCGATGAGTTTGAAATATGAAAGAGAGAGTGAGAGAGGAGTTGCGCGAAACATAGGTCGGCGGTGAGGCGAAAGTTTCGATAATGAGACTAATTCGCGGAACGGCGATACGTTACTGCACGTGTATCTAATAATTTCGGATGCAAAAGGTATAAGTATATCCGTGCGATTCATACGCGTATCATAATTTTGAATCGCGCTCTTCATCACGGGAGAAGGTATTGATTTACGCTTTCATATTTTCACATATCTGTGATCAATAAATCCGCTCGCACGTTCGCGAGAGATTTACGCGAACTCGATAATTTCTCACTGACGCGTATACTGAATTTATTCCTGATTTTATTTTTTTGTTTAAAAATATTATGTTAAACTAAAACTAAAATAAAAGAAATTGACTGTTTGCAAAATACGGTAATATTGTCCTTTTTTTTTTTTTTGGTTTTATTATACTATATTTTTGTTCTACGTTCACGAGTTCGCTACGAGAGCAGTGCGGGCCTGATGAGTTTTATTTTCCACACTTTGAATACGTTGCTTTTAACTATCCGCGTGATAATATAATTTTTATATTTTATATTGCTACACACCCGTTGTCTTATTAAAACCAATTTCCCCATTACACTCCGTCGAGAAATATATCGCCTCAACGAAGGCGTATTATCATTTTACATCAAACGCGTTAATATCAACTTGATTGCCGCGCATCATACCCCGATGGATATCTTTCTATTTTTATTTTCCGTGTGATCTTTTTACGTCAAGGCCTTCGAAAGGTTTCGCTATACGTGATGCCGAGTGGTAGTATATAGCACGAAGAAAGAAGGAAACGCGGTACTCGCGGCAATTCAATCAATCTGACTGCACGATTTTTCCGTCCGTTTATGTGAGCGCTCCTCTTTTTCGGATTCCCTTACCTTGCTTGACCGTAGTGTGACCTTTCCGCCGCAGCGTGCGCAGCACCGGATGTTGCAGTAATTGCAGATGTGGCCGACGCCGTCGGCAAACTTGGTTTTCAGGCATATGTGACACGTGGCGTTCAGCTCCACTCCCGCCTTTTTGTGTATCTCGGAGCGCATACGTATTGTTTCTTCGAGGATTTGCACCTCATCCTGCTTTCGCCTGGAAACACAGAGATGAGAAAACTATTATAAGAAAGTAAACTTTCGAAAAGTGAATATTAAAGTACGCAGTTTAATCCCCGTGCTTGTGTGTGTGCGCATATCCCATTTTCATATTTTTTCTCCGTCCTTTCTTGCGTTGAATGCTACTACTTGTTGGACGTGTTTTCACGCGCGGCAAAAGGTGAAATTTGTTCAAAAATTTGAAACTAATAACTAAGAAAAGTACTTAGAATTTTAACGAAACAAAAAGTATCAAATTTTAAATTCCATTCTCTCGCTTCTTATCGTTAAAAATACTATAAAGCACTGTCGCATTCAATATCCGGCGAAATTCACACATCGATAGAGGTGAGAAAATCGCCGGCTATTTCTGATATGGCAACTACATCCCGTAAGGACAGCGGTCAAATTTGTCAATCCTAATTCTACCATTTGCAGAGACTGGTCCGACGGTTCTACCAAATCTCGTTGTGTGTGAGATAACGCCCGTAGATTTATTTCTACTCTGTAAATCGCGTCTTGAAAACGCCCGGGCGGTCGCAATCTCTTCCTGAATGCGACGTGACGACGCCCGACGTCATTCTTGCCGTCTTCGTCGTCGTTCTATTGCGACACTATTCGCTCCCGCTCACATCCATTAAGCCAATTTAGGGAGCCGTGTGTCCTGCACGCTCGAAATTAAGCCGACGACTCTATTAAAGTGCGTCGTTACTACTCGGCCCGTTGTCGATCGATATCTACTGGATGGATTAAAGCGGTTGCATCAACGATTTATTTACGTAATTTGAATTAAAAAATTTCCGCTCTCTCTTTTTTTATTTGAGTTTCTTTAGAACGGAGGATAAGCTTCGAGAAACGTAGTGTAATATTTATTTGTCGGTTTATACGATTGCGCTTTCGACGCACAACACGCGTCATATCGCGTTGAAAAGAAATCGCAATTTATGGTCCCGCGTGACAGTTATATTGCGACAGAATCATCCGTTGAAAAATAACGCGAAACTAAATTTAATCACATTTATTTCGCATCCGTTCGACCATTGCAACCGCATCCATTGTTCTGTATATCTCACCGTCAGCTAATTGCACGAAGGGCTTTCTCTCTCGCGGAATGCGAGCAAAATTAATGAACCCTGCAGGGATAAAATAAACACCGCCCGTACAATGGACTCGACGTTTTAAATATCGCGAGAGCCCACAGTCGGATAAACAGTCGTGTCAAAGGATCGGCTCGATCCTTCTCACTGTTTGCATGCGTCCATTCCGCTTTCAGAGAGAGCTTCTCTAATTACCGGCTTTCGTTTTATACCTACTCTAAAGCGCGTGACCATTAAAATCACTGAATCGCTATTCACCGCTCGGACAACCTAATTCGCGTATACACACGTGCCCGAGAGACGCGATGTGTCCCTTTTCCATTGAACGATTTGCGCATCGAGATAGAACGAGATGAAAACTCAGGCTCGATCAGCAAATTAAAGGAAACCGCTTATCTATATGCGCCATCTTTCCAACTGATATTACACGTACGTATGTATGCGCGCATGTTATTTTTGCTCTGTATATAGAACCGCTCGTGCGACAGACAAATTGCAACCACTGTCGTGGAGCTGAAAAGAGGAAAAACACGAGCACTTGGCACGGTGCGGCAGTTTTTAGGGTTTGGCTCCTCTTGGATCGCGCACGAATCGGACCGCCGACCGATGGGGTTGTTGGCATTACGTGCCGATTCCGTTCCAGTGGCTACAGCATATCGTACAGACATAAAATCCCGATTAGGTCCGGTTTCGTTGACAAACAAAATTTTGAGGTCACTCACACACATCGAGTTCGTGACATCAATTTTATGAAGTGTTTTTACGAGTCAAATTATTTCTAGAGATTAGATATTTTTTTATAGTGTTTTAATTTGTATAATTTATTAATTATTGATGACATGTTTTTCATAAGAATTTCTTAGGGGGAGTCGAGCCATTTGCGTTGAGAAGCACGCGGTAAAATAATGAAGATTCAGCATCAGCAAAACGTTTTTGTTTGTTGATCAATGTCAAGATGCCACGCGTTAGTGTTACACACTTTCCTATCCTTGACCGATTGTCAAATAAAAGGTAACAGTCGCGCTACGCATCCTGACACCGTAACCTAAATCTCGAGTTTGTCGATAGAACAAAAGCTGGCGCGTCGTGTCACAACGGCACACGAGGGGCGCACCGCATCCGCCTTTATTTCTCTAATTACTTTATCGATAATCGAGTGTGTCGCGCACGCAACGGTGATCACACTCGACAAAGAGTCGCTCAAGACTTTCTCACTTTTGTGTTACGAGCGATCGTGCAAAGGTCGCGGCAAGAAATTGTTTTTCTCTCGACGTGAAGGAATTAAAAAGAAGCGAGAGAGTGCACATCGAGAAGACACGTATCTTCATTTTTATAAATTTTTTTTATGTTTCTCTCTTGTTCTTCAGATATCTCGAAACAATGTCCGTACTTGTGAAACTATGTCCAAAAAATTCAAAAACGAAAAAAAATGTAGTTGAGATCTAATTTTTTCTTTTCTATTATATCATAAAAATATTATTATTGTGTACGTAACGTACTTTTTCATGTTGGACGTCAACAAAAACACGGACGAATATTCACGACAGAAGGAAACATTACGAGAGATGTAGTAGCGCATCTTGAAATTGCACGAAAGCTGTAAGATCGTGCGCGCGTGTCTATAAAACAGAACAAAGACGAGACGTTAATGCGCGATAATGTGGTGACTTAGTAATGGAACGAACGGCGGAGCAACTTCCGATTTCTCGAAATGCGCATTCGTTGTCATTCCTCGCAGTTTCCGTGTGTGTGAGAAACTCTCTTCCGCTCGAACTCCGCGCGTATGGTTTTTCCGAATATTTATTCTTCCGACTGTAGTACGAGATCGTTTCATTTATTTTCGAAATTAGAGAGCGATAAATTAGCGAAACGAGACGTAATGCCGGGCATAAAGTTTCATGCGTTGACGCGCGGAATGGTCTTAGTCTTTCTCGCGTCAAGAAGCTCCCGATATATTCGCGCCCCTTTTCATTCCGTCGCCCAACCGGATATGTGCCACCCATCCGCCCCCGAAAACGAGCGTTATCTTTCAACCCCTAAGAATTTACCGTGCCATTCCGGTCCGCTTTCACGCCCCGTCCACGAGGACGGCAGCTGCATGCTCCCGTGCATACCCTATGCAGCTGCAGCAGCTCGTTACTAAGCCACGTCAAAGCTCGTCGCCTTGCATTTTGCATGCGTCCCTACACGTACTTGTCGTCTACATTACATGATCTCGCATCGGTATGGCGCAGCACGCTTTCCTCATTACTCTTTCCCTTCTTTCTCACGTTCCCGTTTTTTTCTCGGCCCACGACGACCTGTCAATAAAACCTGTTTACTGCGCAACGCTCGCCCACCTCTTCCCCACCCCCTGTTCCTCTTCCTCGTTTTCAGTTATTGTTAGCTACCGCGAGAGAGAAACGCCGGTCTCTATCCGCGCAATTACGCACGCTCAAGTCGCCGGTCAGTCATCGCCTCCTATGATAAGCGGAGCACGTTCAGCTCTCGCGCGCGCGATCGCCCGTTTTACTATTTTTATCGCCGGCCTAGCGGCGAGACCAATCAATCGACTGTGCACGTTATTTTACACTACGACGTACGTACAACGTATGTACGTCGCCGATGTTGATTTCAACACGATCGCGTTCTCTCGTATAAGACGCAAAACTCTTTTTCGCGAAGGCGGCACACAAGGGCGAGAATATTTGCGGACGTCGATGACAATTATAAGCGGTTTTTATTTCTGACCACTTGATACAAAAGAGATGAGAGAGAGAGAGAGAGAGAGAGAGAGAGAGAGAGAGAGAGAGAGAGAGAGAGAGAGAGACAGAGAGAGACAGAGAGAGAGAGCGCGCGATAATCGGGAGCATGTGCAGGGCCGCGGATACATAAATGGAAGATGTAGGTGTAAAGCGGTCAAGGACTAATGAGCAGGTGAGCCGGGAAAATAGGTGAAACGAGCCGGAGCGGACTCATTGGTCAAGAAATACCTTTATCCGATCGATCGGTTGTCATTTTGTCCGTCTACCAATTGTGGTTATCGGTAACGACTAGCTTAAACGACATCTCACTTTTGCGTCGCTACATATATCTAAACGGCTGACCATTACTTCTTCTTTATCACTGGTTTCGATGACATTTAAGAGTTCGGTCGAAAGTTCCGACCTTAACGATTATTTCTAATTAGTCAGTCGCGCTAAAAATAAACAGTGCTGGCTGTAATTAAACTTAGGTCGTTTAGCACGTGTATTTGTATAATTTTAAATACGTAAATTTTGCGAATATAAAAAAATGTCGCTTTATTTCTTCTGTTCTTTGTTTCGAAATCGTTTTATTTTAATTAATTTTCGTAATTTTCTCGTTTTCTTGTTTGAGTTTTTTATACCAACGGTTCGAGTGTCATTTGTTTACTAAAAACGAACGAGTTAAAAAGTGTGGGCGCATGAAAAAATGCAAAATCACGCCCGTTTTGATTTTTAAATCGCACGTCAAAGTTATGCCGTGTGAATTTTCCAACTATCCGCGTTAATTTAAAAAGAGCGATAGAAATATTTCAAGCGCACAATTTGCTTGCTGAATGCGGCATATCGGAAACAATTAACGCGTTAAATATTTCTAGACCAGAAAATGAAGGTTGTTTTAAGTTTAATAAACCGCCTATGTGCTCTCACAATGGTTTTTATTTGACGCAATTTTATCGTTTTTTCATCGCGATGGGTTGGAGCCGCATAAAAATGGCCACAATTACCAAACGGTCAGCGAACAATATCGACCACATGCATCACGGCACACACGGGAATGTTATTACAGTCATTTGACCAGCCTGACAATATCCGGTGCAATAGAGAGTCCTAAATACCCGTGTGAAAGCCCGCGTTCTGCTTATAAAACAATACCTTCATCGCGATAGGTTTCGAATTCACATTGCGAGTCTCACACGCCGATATTGCGACAAAAAGTTTGCACGCGTACGTTGTTTTAAAATTGCGGACACGTTTTCTCGGTTGATTTTGTATACTGCAATTTTATAAATATACCGAGTTGAAAAGCGAACTCTCTTTTATATCGCAATTTAAAAAAAAAATATGTTTGCCAAATAAATATTAATTTTTGCATTTTGCTTTCGGTGATTTTAAAAAACAATGTGTGAAAAATTTACAACACAATCACACATGAATTTGTTTGACTTTTAATAAATTATTTATTGAGAGACGGTTTTCCAGATATTTACACACTTATGTAAGATCACAATAATTGACTGTTTGTCTAAACAAACGCCGATAAATCATTGAAATAATCACGTACCTCAGAATCTCATGATCCTGCTCCTCCTCTTCTTTTTGGCGCATTAAAACACCCTCTATGATGCGCCTCTCCTCGGGGGTGAGGTGCGACATGTCGGGCTGAGGTAGCTCCGCCATCACGGCGGTGGCGATGTACGCGCGTGCACGGGGTATGCGACGTGGGTATGACGCGGATAGGTCGCAGCAAGTCGGCGCACCACCGACGACGTCGACGTCGACGAGACGTTAGCGTTACACCGATGGGGCCGCTCCCTCCGCGCGCTTCTTCTACGATGCTCCTCGCCGCGGGATATAACAACAACCGGATATAACCTTCTACGACTACGAAGCACGGCTGTCGTCCTGGGGAAGTCATCCGACACCCGTTGACCGCACCACCGCACCGCGACGCGGAAACGCGAGCGCACCGGGATTACGTCGCGGTCGTCGCGCGATCGTCGTCGTCGTCGTCGTCGTCGACTCGGCACTCGTACGTTGCACTCGCAGCTTGCGGAGAGCGCGCCAATCGCGACGCGAGACCTCCTCCGTCGTGGTCGATGACTTCGGCGTGGCCTCTTCTGCCCGGAACAAGATACGGCGGACGTTCTTAGACGCGATGTTGAGAGACGTCCGACACGTTACGGACTTGCTCTCCTGTCGCCGTTGACACCGATGCTGAGTAACGAAGGAGCGATAGTCGGGCAGTATTCGGGCTAGTCTCATGCGAGCGCACCGAGTGCTCGTGGCATGACTGCGGGTATCATCCTCTTCCTCCTCGTCGTTGTTGTCGTTGTCGTCGTCGTCGTCGTCGTCGTCGTGGTCGTCGTCGTTGTCGTCGTGGTCGTCGTCGTCGTCGTCGTCGTCGTCGTCGTCGTCTTCCTCGTCGTCGTCGTCGGTGTCTCTCGTCGTACGATTACCACCCGTCGCATGTGTATGACAAATCATGTTCACAGGCTGTGAGGAGGCTCTCGCATTCTCTCTTGCAGCCCGGCCTCACGCGCTGCGCTGCCCGAATGCACCATCGGACGATACGCGTTCCTCGCGAGCGTGCACGCAACCTCACCGGAGGACGAATCCTCGATTTCTTCGCGCTCCGAAAAAAAAACGCGCTATCACACCAAGCCAACTGTAACGTAACCCCGAACTTGTCGAACGAATTGAACTCTAATTAACGCGCGCGATTCCACACACTAAACTGTTCACGATTACCCGTTGGACTCCGCTAGATAATGGCTGCGTCCTTCTGTCCCTGATCCTTCGAAACTCTTTGGAACCGCATCGATTGAAAACGAAAACGGGTCACTGGGTTGCCGCCGCTGATAAATAGGACTTCCACTTTCGTGACTCGATCTTCGCGCGCACCACAAGCGCCTTGTGGTTTTCACGTCGACCGTCGTTTATCGGATTCCTGTTATCTCCCGGACACCGCGGCGAGACGATGCGCCATCCCAATCGCTATCACGAGATTCACGAGGTGCGTGTGTCGTCGCGTTAACTGAAGTTTGTTGAGCGTTTGCGTTGAGATATACGCTCGATAAATAACGGAGCGCGTCCATTCGACAAACACCAATACGACGTGTCCGCTTTCGATCGCTACACGATATTCTCGATCTTGATCGTTTGCTCCGGAAAAGTTCGGGTTCGTCTTTCGCCCGTGATTCACGTGGCAGCCGACACGACAATGGCGCTTCTCGGCGATCCTGTAACGGCCTCCGCGACGCCCACGTAGTCGATCGTCCCCGAGCGGACAGTTACACACCCACGACAACCGTTACCCCAGCTGACAGCTACGACAAGGGTTTGTGCTGTCACTCCGTAGGGGTTGGTGTTCTTTTATCGTCGCAGAGGCCGCAAGGTACCATCGCTGAGGTGATGTCACCGCGTACTCTCGTCGTCGTCGTTTCCTCGTCGTTGTTATCGTTGTCTTCGTGGTCGTCGCAGACGTGGGAACACCGTGGAAGTGTCGATCGCTATCTGTTCCTCGCGAGGTTAAACACCCATCACGGGCGTTACGGCTCTCTCTCTCTTTCTCTCTCTCTCTCTCTCCCTCTCTCTCTCTCTCTCTCTCTTTCTCTTGGCTTGATCCGCTACCCTCTTCGCGCAGCACCCTTCGTGCTCCGCGTCGAGCCGCGAAACTTTGCGAAACGGTCAACACTTGTCACGAGAGGGAGAGCCACCCAGGTTGTCCTGCGCATTGGCAATCTGTGCGTTGTGCGGCGTCGCGTTTGCGTCGCGACGCGTCGCGTCGCGTCCAGCGCGGACTATTTACTTCTTTACGGTGATGTCTCTTTCTTCGATGCGACGAAAACCCGAAACGATTTCGCGTTTATTCGTTCTTTATAATTTTTCGCTTCTCGTGACGACGTGATGCATTTATCAGTAGAATAGTTCGCGCTTGGTACCGCCGGCGTTGACGTGATATTACACTTCTTTTTATCTTGGATAAATTATTTCGGTTTTTTCTTTGTTTCTTTTTTTTTTTTTTTTTTGGTATCTTTCTTTGAATCTCTCGTGTAAAATTTCTTTCACTTTCTTTTCTTTATCACCTCTGACTGGGTCTCCGTATAAAATAACACCTTCTCTCACTCTCTCGCATTATCTTTGTTTCCTGCTCTCTCCCTCTTTCTGTCTCTCTTTCTCTTGCTTTTGTGTTTCACACACCCCGTGCTACCTGCTCCTTTTCCGCAATGCTTTCCCCGTGACGATCGCAAAATAGAACGAGCGGGACACGCGAACGGGGCTAATTTCCGGTCGCGAATCGACTTCCCGTCGGAATCCTCGACGTCGACATCGAGGCGCGAACCCGCGATCTTTCGGAGTTGCACGTATCACTCGCTTGGAGACCCCTATCGAAGAGAAAGGTGCCTTATCGCGCTCGTATGCGACCGCAGTTGCGCGAACGAACCGAGCGAAGCTTCCCCACCCTCTCGCTCGTAATGCCGTACAAAGTGACAAAGAAGTCGCGCGCACTTTCTTCGGATCCCTCGCGATTGTAAAAGTCACATCCAGAAAAATGAGAGAGAGAGAGAGAGAAAGAAACAATTGTGTCGATGTTGCGAAACGTTGACACTTTGTATATCTCTTGCTAATGAAGTTGCCATGTTTATGTATGTTTACGTATTATGTTTACAATTTAAGATGAGATTTTATTTACAATTTAAGAGATTATATCACATAAATACACATAGTGATATGTAAAAACATTTTAAAATAAAGAATTATACCTCATTCTCTTTATACAACTCTTGAAAACAACTTTATTTTAGCAAGAGGTTTGTTCAAATATCAACTAAGATTTGTATGCCATTAAATATAAGAAAATTTGACTCTCGAATTCAACGAATTAAAAACATTGATATTAAGAAAAAAGTGCAACATCTTTTCAGGCCACCTATACGATTTTACACAAACGATACAATGAAAACCCTTAAAAAATGACAGATGTATCGAATAGCCGTTATTGAAACGAGTTTCACGCGATCATGTAATTGGTTTTTTACATTTCAATGGCAATTGCCACCTCATACTTGTGACAAATGGTACCTGACAAATATTACACTTTCGCGCGAGCTTAATAAATAATGGGATTGCGGCGTACGGTCTGACCAATGGGCAAATGGAACGAGACTTACGTCGCGGAAAATGGCCGTATTGATCGACAGACAGACCAATCTGGCGCGAAACTTCGAGGGACGGATCCCCAATCGCAATCACCTGGCGCTGCATTTAAATCAAACCCACGGAAAACTGAAATTTATTTTAATGTTTCTGAAATCCCTGATAAAATCAAATTCAAGTTTTTATTTATTAGAAATATTTTACCTATTTTGTAATCTCGTCGAGAAGAAAGTGAATCAAAACAGAAATATTGATACTTTATCTTTTTTGCGCTATTGTCATATTAAAACTTCTCAGAAAAATGGAAACACTTCCAATGTCTTAATTTGCAGACGTTATACTAAACAAATGAAGAGAGGAGAAAAGGATTGTTAAGATCGCGTCTGATTTTTATACAAAAAATAAGTGAAAGATTTTATACGCAAGATAGTAGAGTTAGAGAGAAGAGTGCGCATTACCTACTGATATCATATCGTTCTTATATATTTTCCGAGCAACACTTAGTAAATCACCTTCTTTGAACTGTGTTCCAAGAGATTGTGGAAACTTCTGACGGCCGATTGCCGTCATTCCTTCGACATTGCCAAAGTTTAGTACACCTAGTACGTCATATGGCGCTCACGTGTGCTTGCGGAGATCCATTTCGATTTCGAGCGAACTTCAGTCGACATTCAATATATCGAAAAATTGCGTATCGATAATTATCGATAAACAATAAATAATCGATATACGCATTCTGTCTAGTTCATCTTCATATACGATCGTTTACTACCATCTAGCAAGTCGAATAGTAGGAGGAAAAGGCATTTTATAGTAATTTGTTCACACTGATTATTAACTGTACAAAAATCATTACATCATTCACAAATAGCGCTGCACTAACCAATTATTTTGTGTATAATTCTATTCGTTGATAACGTTGTACAAGAATGTGAGATAATTGCTACAACCTTAAAATCAAACATATTGTAAATACGTATGTTATTGTAAATAATATTAATAACTATATATAACTAAATAATTTTATATCTCACACACTCACATACACCCAAAATTAAATTATATACATACATATAGTTATAAAAATTTTGGCACATAATATTATAATAAACACATAATTAAATATATCTACTAAAATCTAACTTAAAAAACTAAGTTTAATAAAATTTGAAATATTTCCTGGGAAAAAAACTTTTTTCATAGTACGAGAAAAAAATAATTACTCGTCGTAAAGATATTACCCTTGATTCTGTTAACGCTAATTGCAATTTTTGAGTCATCAAGAATTATTGAGTTATTTGGAAATATTTTATTTGTATCTTTACAATATCGTAGGTTGTTTTCAATTGCTTTGATTTTGACTTCTTTGATGACAAGAGACAAACTTTCCAAACATCTCAATATATAAAAAATTTTGTTAGAATTTTTAAATAGTGTTCGTCTTTATTAAAATGTATCTTGAGTAACTAAATATGTATGTTTAGAAGATGACTTTGTAGTCTTTTTTTACATATAATCTAAAAACTTATAATACCGAGGGACGTATATATAATTTATATAATACATGTTAATTTGTAAATATATATACATTAATTATATGTACATTACACATGATTATAGCATAATTATGTGTAATATATATTAATTATTATATATTACGTATAAATATAACGTAGAATGACTATATTTTAAAAAATCAATCAATTTGTACCTGCAATGTAAGAGAAAATAAAAAGAATATGTCAAAATATTATGTTTAAATTAATCAGTTAAAGATAAAAGTTACTCTCTTTGTATACAATTTCTAAATATACGAAATATTATTAAACTGATCGTTTTCTTCAGTTTGATCATTGATCCTACAAAAATATGTAATGTTTAATATAAAAATGTTATATGCCTATTGTAAGAAACATTAAAAATGATAAATAAAAAAAATATACATATATATATGTATGTATACATACATATATATACATTATTTTATTATATAAATAAATTTGTGATGTTCTGAAATATAAAGTTGATTACTAAGATTTACAAACTGTGAGAAAATATATATATAGAGATTCTTTAAAATATACAAAAATCCTTGTAAATGTACAAATATCCTTATTATTAAGTTATATAAACTAACAGGCAGTAATTTATCTGATATACTAATCTGTAAATAGTTGACAATATTTTTAACCTTGTACTATTACAACATTTAATAGCATTTTGATAATTATTCTTGATATAAATTACATTTGTTAAATGTTGTTTTACAAATTGTTTTGTAAAATGACTTTAGACAATAAATTATAAGTTGTGAGCTGCATAATTAAAACTTGCAATTCTTATTTTGCAATTATAATTAAAAAACGAAAAAAAATTGTACATACATATAATCTTTTTATATAAATTTAAAGCATTTTTGCTTGTCATGTGGTATTCGTGTCTTAAATAATATCGAATCAGCACGATATTGTGTATTCAATAGTGGCATATAACCGAATACCTGAAAAAAAAAACAGTTATAATAAGTACAATATGATACTAATTACTGAAACAAACTTGAAAATTGAAACATTGCCGCTTGTACCTGAGAGAAAAAGTTGATACATTTGTGTCTTTCCTGAAAATGTGTATCATCTTCAGAAAGCGAAACTGGACAACCCGGACATCTGAATGTCCAACGAGATGTCACCTGAAAAACGCACAAATATATTCTCTAAATTTGTATCATAGAACATTTAAATAATAAATTGTCTCTATCGAGTTGACGTAATATATCTTACTTTCACTGGTGGTTTCCTCGTAAGATGAGATATTAAGAAATTCATTGCAATGTCTTCGCAATTCATATATTCGTCGACTTTATCCCTTATTGCTTGTGGCAGCCAATGCGTGTACAAATATGTGTAATGTTTGTGAATAAAAGCAGCTCCGGTTAAAACCATAGACAGTTCACAAGAATAGTTGGAGTTATAGTTCCACGCATTGTGATAATTCTGGTCCCATGCGTGAAAGCGACCAGGAAATCCAACTACTCGATCCCGATGTTCTCTCCATACTCTGGAAACATTATTGTACGTAGAATATGACAGTTTTGCTAATCGGTAATAAGACTGGCATGCAAAATTAGTTTACCTGAAGCCAAACATGATCTCGTCATGTCTCAAATGAGCATCATCATCCACAGACAGGACGGCTTCTGTCTCAATTGCATCGAATGGAAGGAATCTATTGTTCAAACTGTTTCTTGGAGCTTTTATAACCTGTATATTTAGATAATAAATATATATTTTATAATTTTCAAGAATAAAAATAAAAGAGTATCGCGTAACTGATCTTACATGTATAGGAACACCAATGTCAGGCCACTTAAGATCTTCTACAGGTGGTTTCGGACTATTCCACACTACAAGTACTTTGTTCAAATAAGGTAAACCATAAAGACGCGCTAACGAATTTATAAGCACTTGTTCTCTCTCGTAAGTTAACATAACAATTGTAAATTGTTCTCGTGGATGGTTTCCTCCCAAAGACTCGCTGAATTCTTTTCCGGCGCCTCCAGCACCCTTACCGATAGGTCGGAATCCAACCTCTGATCCTACAAGAAAAAAAAAAGAAAATTAGATACAGTATATAAAACAATTTAAAATAACAATCTTACCAAGAAATTTTGCATCGCTAGGGAGAACAGTGTCAAAAGGTAACTGTGGATACAGATTAAACGGATCCATCCAATCATTCCAAAGTTCATGACCTTGAATCAATAGTGTTGTATAATTTCTCTTGAAAGCGGGAGACGGATACGGTGGTTCCAAAGGACCTAAACTTTCTTCAGCTTCAGGTTCAGCGATGATAGTATCCGATTTTAAAGGCTTTTAAAAGAGAATAATATTGATTATAAAACTAAAGTGTTCTTCTCCTTATCACATAAAAAAACATACCACAAAGCTTTCGTTAAAAATACTGGGACTGGGTGTTTGGGGCGCTGGTATTGGAGGTATACCAAGTCTGTCTCTGACTATTGCTATAGTTGTATCCATCACACATTGAGCAGTGCTCATATAACGTTCCCATATTAATCTGCCTTGTCTTCGCATAGCCAAAAGATCATTGTCGGGAACAGCGCGCAATAAAAAGTGCATTTCGGTCACTCTAGCCTAAAATTATAAGTTTTCATAATTGTCGATTTCGAAAAGAAAAAAAACAAATTAAGGGTAATGATGATGTGGTCGTTACCTTAGGTAGAAAAATAACTGCTCTTCTCCAAGCAATAACTTCATTATAATTAAGCAGGATCTGATCGCCACCAAGAATAACTGGTATCGATCCAGCTCGTAATGCTTCATATAATCTCGCTTGCATTGATGAAGTAGTTATCAATGTGGTATTGCTGGGAGCTAAAATCAGTGCAAAAGTCGATTCCTTCAATATAGCTCTTCTAGAAGAATCAGTTCCACAAAGCGACCAATCAAGAATTTCCAATGACTTGCTTTCTACCGAGGCTGGTATGCACTCAAATTGAATGAAAAATTTGTCCAAAGTCATTCCACTGCTCATGTCCTTCAAATGTTGAATGATAAACGCATCTATATTGTTATCATCAACTGCTAATCTTTCCAAGTCCATGTCCGCATCATCAATTTGATGTGTCATCGATGTACCTCTAAAAGTTCTCATCTCGCCTTGAAAAGACAACAGATACTTTCGTCTCGCAGGTAACATTTGCGCGCATTCTTGCCAAATATCTCCACCAGGTGGTCCTAGAATTGGTGGAACAATTAAATCAAAATCATCGCGAAACTGATTTCTATAAAATGTTGACTGTACTATAATCGCTCTGCCAGTGTCTAAATTGTTAAAAATATTTCCAGAATCTGCAGACAAATCTCTTCGTGCAAGATTTAATAATATGTGATTCCTACCATCACCACCCCAAAAAGGGAGTTCGTGTAATTTCTTAGTGTCTAAAGGATTTTTGTATTTAAATTCACTTCTTTGATTCGAACTTAATGCTTCACCAATTAAGACTACATAAATGCATGCTTCTTCCGGATTTCTAGTAAAATGCGGATTATATCCTAATGTTTGTTTGATGGTTGTTTTCAAAAAACCATCTACATCCCATCCCGGATGAAGCACGGAATAGCGATCTGGATCATACAAGTACACTGGAAAGCCACTTGTCAGTGCACACCGACTGTGATCAAAACAGTTGTACATTCTACACGACCTTGGATCTGTACTTGATATTACAACTGGCAAGCTATTGATCAATATTCTCTTAGGAAGTGCCAACTCAGGTGTATTCCGTTCCACAGCTTCTCTTTGTGCCACCTGTGCCTGTTCTACACTTATCTTTAATCTATCAAGATCTGTTTGTTGATGCAATAACTCTTGCTTCAATTCATCTATTTTCTGAGTCAGACTACTAACTTCACTTTGGAGTCTTTGTCTTTTTGCACCAAGATCTCTTAATTCGTTGCTGACTGAAAGTTTTATACGAAACATTTCTTCTATTCTCATCTTCAATTGTGATGCCTTCATAGATGTGAAATCTTCAAAGGCTTCAAGAGTTGAAAATGTTCTATAAATATCTCTATCAGGGGCATCGGCCTCTACCTAAAAAATGAAGGGATTCAGAGTTAGCATAAAATATAAAAACATTGATAACTTATTTTCTTTACTTCAAATATGTACCTTAGATAAATAATAATGTGTAACTAATGGCACAGTAAATAAGACAGTAGATATTAAAATTATGATCCTTGACAATTTAACATGTGCCAACCATTTGCACTGGCACCTTTCTCTCTCAGTCACGGTGAGATGATAAGATGGTAACGATTCATAAGTATTTCCTACCATATTTGTATATATTTAAACCTGTCTTCACCTATGTAACAAATATTGAATATTTCGGTGCATTTTCTTCAAGTTCTGCAGAGAAAAGAATGTATTAAAAATATCAAATAAATCTTCCACTCTCGCAGTTTGACAAATGACATGACGAAACAGAAAAAAGAAAATAAGGAAATTCTCTTACTCGGGATCTCGTTCATCGAGCTCGAGGAGAGCTCCAACGAACGGTAAATCACATTTCCATCATCGACCTCATCCGCAGCAGCAATTTTAACGAGGTTAGCTGTGAAATTGACACTCTCCTCACTCGTGCGCGATTTGTCATAGGTTATCTTCTTACGATTTATTTTCAGACTTTACGGAGTTAATTATTGATCCTTATACTCTTGGAAACCGCTTTCTGAACTCGTGTTGCATCCGAAACTGCACGCAACTCTCGTCATAGTGAATAAATATGCAGTATATTTGACAATTAATCGTCCGTGAATATTTATCACGCATATCTCTCGAGATCGATTGCTACGGCGTACCGATGCGCGCAACCGTTCAACTCGATTGAAAAAGCAGTGTTGTTTTCATTCGACGCATAATGAAAAATTTCGAGGAATATTTTGCGCGACACGTTCGCACGAGAATTTTTTTTTAGATACGATGCAACTTGCCGTGAATTCACACGCGCAATTGCTCGGCTGATCGAACCATTTAAATAACCCGCTGTGTTTATACGTCGTCCTGGTTTACTCCGATAACGTTTGGTGGCATTCCCCGCGACGGTACCATCCACTTGCGATGTATTTGCATTTCTAAAGACCTTCACAGAACATGCGCATGTTCATGTCAGGTGTAGTGTAAGAGGAATAATATTTTGGCTTTGAGGAGGCCTAAAATTAGCCGGAAAATGGTAAGCATTTGAAAAAAGATCGATTGTTCACTAATCAGACTTTTCATTCGTGCTCGTAATATCAATTGATTAAGTCGATTCACTCACCGAGATTGCGTCGTTCGTTTTGAAATTGGCATAACCTATCTTCGTGTGTAACGCGTACAAAAATTGTTTTTTTTTTCTCACGTCAAAGTCAAACTTGTGTCATTTGACACAATGGGGGACAACGCAATTTTAACTTTTCTTCTTTTTCACAGTTTCTGAGTACGTGACATTAAAATTGTCATCCGCGATAATGCAAAACTTAATACAATAAAAAGTGTGGTTTAAATGATGTAAACGTGTTTTTGCGCAATTTTGAATTGCTTCTTCGAGTAAAATTCTTGAAAGAATGCTCTAAAGCGTTATTTATAGCGATACATGAATTTTAGAATTGTACTTTGTATATATTACTCTTATGCATATGTCCAATATATGAAGCAAGTAACATACATATCTGCATTCGCAAAAAGTCTGATACAGGTTACATAAAACAGCATTTGTTTATTGTTACAGCATAAATTAAAATTTTCACAAAGGGACAAAGTGAAAAAATTCATCACATTTACACAAACTGGTGAACAAACTGCAATATACTGTTTAGCTCAAAATGATTGGAAACTTGATCTGGCAAGCGACAATTACTTCCAAAATCCGGATCTTTATTATAAAGAACCAAAAAATTCTGTTGATAAAAAAAAGTTGGAAGTATTATACAACAAATATCAAGGTAAAACACTTTTCTGTAATAGTATTTGGTTTTTAATAACTCCATTGTTAATATAAAACCAGTATGCATATAATCACTGTACTTGCAGATCCAAGTGAACCCAATAAAATTACTGCAGATGGTATTATGAAATTTTTGGATGATTTAAATTTAAGTCCAGAAAGTAAACTAGTTTTAATTATTGCATGGAAATTTCGTGCAGAAACACAATGTGAATTTACTAAGGAAGAATTTATGAATGGCATGATGGATTTGGGGTAAATATTTTTAAAATTTTACACAATAATGTATTTTATTTATTATTTGATTCAATCATTTAAGTGTGCCAAATATTATGCTTTTGTTCCATGTCAAAAATTCTTTTTTTTTTTCACAGAGTGGATAGTATAGACAAGTTAAAAGCACGTTTAGGTAGTTTAGAAAATGAATTAAGAGATCCTCTAAAATTCAAGGACTTCTATCATTTCACATTTAATTATGCGAAGAATACGGGACAGAAAGGTTTAGATTTGGACATGGCAATTGCTTATTGGAACATCGTATTAGATGACAAATTCAAATTTCTTCAATTATGGTGTCAGTTCTTACAGGTGAGAAACTTGGAAGTTTGTTTTAAAGTAAATTCTTTTGAAATGTTATTTTTTTATTTATATTATTTTAAAATAAATTCATCCATAAAAATTCATAAAATTTCTTTCTTCCAAGATCTCCTCAAAATATTTATTATTAACATCTTTCAGGAACATCATAAAAGATCAATTCCAAAAGACACGTGGAATTTGTTGCTAGATTTTGCACTTATGATTAATTCAGATATGAGTAATTATGATGAAGAGGGAGCTTGGCCTGTATTAATCGATGATTTTGTAGAATGGGCACAACCTCGTGTTCGTCAATCCCTCTAACGTTGTTTTGGCAACACACACATACATGATAAATTTATTTATTTGATTGTAAAACATTTTTTACCAAATTTCACTTAATAATTTTGCCAGTGAGAATTAAGAATGATTCCAGTAACATAAAACATCATCTTACTTTCTGTACATGATCACAGATAAATCAATACATATAGACTATAATGACTCATAGTATATTATAGCAGTCATATGTAATATGCATTCTGAGATTGTATGATACATTTCTTTAATAGGTGTTCACTTTCATTTGCAGAAAGAAATAGCGTATTTCTTTAAACTTGATATAAACTTGTTGTTTACAAATATTTGTGTGAATCTTACTAACCATATAGTGTATACGAAATTGTTATTTATAAAATAGTTTAACTGCAATACTTTTGATTTATCTTCGAAGAGGAGAAACAACATTGCCTTGATATTGAGCATATTGTACAAAGTAATATGATGTATAAGATGTTTATTTATACATGGAAATACGGCAAAAAAGTTTGCTCAACTACCCCTGAATCAGGGGGTATTTGCAGACAATTTTTAGAAAGAATATTCCTTAATCCATTCTCTTTTAACAAACTGTTTTGGAAGTAAAACCACAGAGGGATTAGCTTATACGTTTGTGTAGATAGTAATTTCTAGAAATTGCGTTGTTGAAGAAATTGTTACTAAATAAATTCTGCGATACTCTCTATTACACGATACATCTACTGTACATAAGAACACAAAGAGAAAAAAATCTGTATATTTTAGACATCCATACAAATTCTGGCACCATTTTACTTATCTTTTTATATTAAACTTAGGTTAAAAATAAGATGACTAAAAACTTCATTTCTTATGTAACATAAGAAAAGATCAATATTGTGTACTTTTGAATAAGTGCTCTAGACAAAAAATAAAGATTTTTTTATAAAATTAAACTATAATTTTGTCCAAATTAAATATATATATATATATACACGGCTTTTATGTTCATTTATTGTAAATTGTTGGTACACTATACAAATTATATATATTTTTGTTTTCTCTTCAGTGTTATTCTCTATAAATAAATTTGATTCTCTTGACAAAATTGTCATTATGTTTGTTAAAAACATAGTATCTCTTGTGATTACATTTTATATAAAATGCAATCATTTGTCTTCTTGGAATAATTGGTACGATTACGAATTTTATTTATATAAAATATATATATATGAAAGATATATAGAAAGAGAGAATACACCATTATATACTGTAAAAAAAGTTATACATACTACTATCAATCTCGAAAGCTAATTGTTAAGAAATCAAAAAATCTTGTAGTTATATATATATATATATGTATAATGTTATAAAGTTATAAAACAAATTTCTCGAGTAAAAGTGTATCGTCCATACTTTTTTGATTATATTTTATAAGTATAATGTAAAATAGTTAGAAACAATCTTAACATATATATATATACATAAATATATATATATATATATAAAATAATATGAACTCAATATATATAGAGTTACATATCGCCAGGGATATGTTTCCGCAATGCTAAACTTATTCAAACAAAAATAAATATCGTATTTTAGCAATTATATGAAATATTGTTTTCGAAGATAAATCAAATTATTTTCTTAATAGTTTTTTCAGCATTGTGTAAACAAAATAAAATGTTTTATTAGCTTTAGGGGAGACAGAGAAAGTAAATTGTATATAAATATATATATAAATTATATACATAATGTAAATAAATTATCAATCTATTCACTTTGGCTGTTTCAAAAAGCTGCTAAATAAATATACATATTTCGCGTGTGCATATTATCTATATGTGTTTAAATAAAAACTTCTGCTAAGTATGTACAATTATATTTCGGTGTCTTATTTGTGTGTCAAGCAAAAAAAAAGTAAGTTTTATATTTATACATTCATAATTAGTAAGAAATACGTAGGCAATAAAATACCTCGGTATATGCAGTTATATAAAAATAGATGATTTTTTAGAGATTTAAATGTCTGTTTGAATTTTAAATATTTCCACAGTGATTAGTGCATTGTGCGCTGTATGAATATAAGAAAGCCAATTCATATTTATTAGCTTGTGTATTGTAACAATTCTGTAATACATCCTTAGTATACCAGTTGCATAATGATTCCAATCTATCAATAGTTGTCTGCATCAGACATTTTTCACAATTTATTACCGAAAGATATTTCACGTATTTATCTCACTTCAAATTTACTTACTTGTGCAATAACCAATCCGCGACTAGAATTATCGACAATAGTGTGACTGTGTGAATCAAACAATGTGACCTACGCACATAACTTGTGTTATTTATGTTTGTCATTAAATTCTAGCTGAATCGCTCACCTTATAGATTTTTCCTTGAAATATGAATAGTACAGTGCGTCCACATGTGATGAGCAGCATAAATAAAGTGTGAGATTTTGGACCTCTGTACCAGTTGTGCAAAAATATATTTATATTTTTGTACAAGCTTGTTTCTATGTCTTCGTGAAAGACATTGAATTTCTAAAAAGATATTACTTATATGGTTTAGATATGAGGTTCATACAAATATGGTTCTATTTATTCGGAAATAAAAACTTAAAGATAAATAAAAAAGAAGTTGAATATTTTATGTTGGAATATAAAATTTGTTTTATATTCCATATATATGAATATACCCATTCTTTTAATATATTTAAACTGTTTCCCCCATATTTCAAAGCTTCCTCAGTACTCAAATATGGATCCGATAAAAGTCTTTCTTTGACAAGCCATGCATGAGTCGCATTACCCTCTATTATAGCTTCCGCTACAACAATACTCAACTTTGGACAGCTTTCTATGTCATAGATGAATAAATTTTCTCTCAATATTCGTGCAGCCACGAGTAAACATATAAGTGTACAAGCCTCACTTCCTAGAGTGATTACAATACATCAAAAAAATAAATATTGTCAATATTCAAAATTTTTATACAGTAACATGTTTATTTTCTCTAAAATAAATATAAAAATTACTTTCTTGCCCTGGAGGATAACGGCTTTGTGAAAAGTCAGGGTGATACCACAATACATCTACTTCATTATTAGAACAGCTTTTTATATATGTTGGGAAGCGACAGCTAAATAACGGTGGTAAAGTCATAATTACGAAATTTCTTATTTCGTATGCCCTTCATTACTTATTAATTTTGTTGCCAAATGCATTTTTTTGTAATTTATTTTTATAGTTTTCTCCAAAAAACTTGTAATATGTCAAGACATTTTAGGTTCTAAACCTGTGTATTACGGTTTGGTTTTATGTGTGATGTTGTAGAATGTTATAAAAAAAAACAATAGACATCAAGAAAGCTATATTCAACAAATTTACAACTAAAAAAACTACAAAGAATTTCCACAACTAGCACAACACAGGCGCGCGCTACGCGCACGCTACTGTTATTTTTATTTAACGTGTTGTTAGTGAACAACCTGTCATCGCGATGACAGATAGTATATACGTCTTATAAACCATATAATACACATATAAGAAATGTCAAAAATAACGCATGAAAATCAAACTCAAAAAATAGTGAGAGAGAGAAGTGGAAAAACAACACGTGACTAAAGTCACGTAACAAGGAAAAGGGTAAAAAAGAGAATATTATATATATATTATATGTAATATTCTATATCTATATATAATACACACACATACGCATATATGTATATATATATACCGTAATCACGTGACCGAAATCAGTAACACCGCCGCGGTCGCGCGGCCGAAGTCAATGACTCCACCGCAGTCGCGCGACCGAGGTCATTGACCCCGCCGCGGTCGCGCGACCGAGGTCATTGACCCCGCCGCGGTCGCGCGGCCGAGGTCAGTGCCCCGCCAAGGCCGCGCGGCCGAGGTCAGTGACCCCGCCGAAGTCGCGCGGCGGAGGTCAGTGACATTACTGTAGTATGTATATATAATACATATAATACAATATAAAGTATAATATTATAAATATATAATAAATTATAATGTATAATATGTATTATTGAAATGGTATATATAATATAAATTACAGTCACGTTATTTTCACGTGTTGTTTTTCTACTCTTTCCTGTCACGTGACTTTAGTTACGTTTTTAATTTTCTCTACATATACGACGAACTGTCTCAAAATCGCTTTAATGATTAAAACACTTACAGAAACTTAATAATTTTGTTTACAAGTTTTTTAACTGTGAAATACAATTATATTTTAAATTGTCTCATCTATGAAATATTTTTATCTCTCTTTAGAAAAAATATTAAGAGTTTAATAAAGTTAATAAAACTTGTTAAATAATTGTTAAAATTTCATACAGAATATTCTTTTATTGCATAAGATATAAAAGTATTTGCGTTTGGTAAATAACATGTCATTTTACAATGATGAAACTAATAAATAGTCCATTCAGACAATAGTCACAAATTGTGCATATACATAAAAAAAGAACATATAATAATAAGATAAACTACATTCTTAAATTTTATTCATCCGTGGAAAACAAAAGATATATTTGAATGTCCGATAATAGTCGTTCGTTGCAGGGAAGAGTTTTTACTGAATTGAAAAATCCTTTACTTTGCGAGATTCACAATACCTAATTAACGAAATATTAATAAAGACCCGCAAATGATCGCGAGCATTTACATGCAAATCAACCAACGTTTATTTATTTTAAGAAAAAAAAATGCGGAAACCATGCCTTTGCGTTTAGTTATCGTTAATTATTGATTTTTATTTAATACATATATTTAATATATATATTATACATGTATTAATTTAATATGTGTGTATGGATATATATACTTTTATATTAACTCTTCCCATTAAAGAGTGTCACGTGTGTGGACGCGCGAAACTAGTCTGTGTATCTTCCTCTATTTATATACGAACAGTTATAAGACTCTTATCGGACACATATGTATAAACATGATTTATTAAGTCAGTTTAGTACCGCAGTCAATTTTCTAATTCATTATTTATCAGTATATTTTTATTATGAATATTTATAATTTTCTAAATATATATTACATATGCGACTTGCTTACGCGTGTAGTAATATGACAGTTTACTACACAAACGATATCACTGTTATTACAAATATGCAAAGATGTACTGAAAACGCTTTTCAAAATTGTTCTTCATTGTCAAGATAAGAAAAAGTATAACATCAAAACGCCGTAACGTATTCGTCTTAAAAATTCTGAAAGTAAAAAGACATGAATGTTTGCATATAAGATTATATTATTTTTATATGTACTACTTACTAGTGATCAAAACGGTTTGTACGTGGCCGGATAACGCGACGGTATACTTGTGGTAAGAAGACGTGCCCAATGTTCCCACCCCAAAATCTTTGCAATTTCAATGCACTTCTCATCGATTTCCTTCAGCGGTTTCTCTTCGTAATATCGTAATAGTAATTTTAAGTAACGTCCATAGTGTTTGTTAATATGCGCGTGCCATAAAGATAAAATAATAACCTAAGAAATAAAAATACATCTTATTTGTTATACAATATACATGTGCATATAAAATAATGTTTTTAAAAATATTTAGGTAATAAAAACACTCCTATGTTAAGTACCTTATTATCAGTAAGTTCGGCGAATTTCTGCACTTCTTGCCAGTGATGCGTAACACTTTCTAGCAAATGTTCAACGGATCCATCTCCCTCTCCAGTCTTTGTACCATGTACGTACAATCGTGATAATGCACAGCCCTTTTTCACTAATGCCTCAATCAAACTGTTCTTTGTCTTCTCCATAGACACTTTGAATTTAGCCGCATCAGGTCGCTGATCATTTTTCAATCCGAAATAAGCTAGTAGCTTATCTTGATCAATAATTGTAATTACCGAATCAGCAACTGTTATTATTTGATTGGCAAGTGCGATAGCGTTTTCTGAAAGATCATCATGTGGTACATGACGCCGTCCTTCGGGAGAATCCAAAGACTGTAACATGGCAATATGAACGGGCAAATGGTCCGAGTAAAGTCCTTTTAGTTCTCCATACAACTGATTCGCGTGCTCACCAGGCTCTGTTATGTACGAGAACAAAATTTATCAGTACATAAAATAACTCATAAAACAATTTGCAAATTAATTAATTATATGTCCAGAGACAAACGTTATACATATTAAGGAGAGACGTCTGCATAAAATGCAAATATTTATGTTATAATATTTACACTGATAAGAAAAAACAAACAGTAGAAAATTTGCAAACAAACTATGTTTGTCATTTATATAGTAAAACTATAAGAACAGTAATCACGAATAAATCTTATTTGACATACAAAACTATATATATACAACCATAAGTACAAAGGAAGATGAATGTATGCAAGAATTACAAATACATGCTTTAAAATATGTCTTATGTGTGTGATAAACCAAGAGGGGGGATATAACAAATATAATATATACGTTGGCATTTTCAACCCAACTTACTTATAGATGGTGCTACAGATGGAATATACCGGAAAAACAATAGAATGTATTTGTGACAGTACTATAAATAAATTACTCAAAATATCTACTTGTATTTATTATGTTTCTAACTATATGATATATCTATATTTATGTATCATATATATGTATATATATGAAATTACCGAATTTTGCAAGATAATTGCACTTTAAGTCTCTCAGTGCTTCGTTGTATTCGTCCCACTTTGAAGTTTTATCCTTCTCGGATTTATTAGTGGAGTTGCTGTTATTTTTCTTGGGTATCTCAGCTATGATGTATTTAAATACGTGACTATCCACCTTCTTTCCAACATCGTCTTTACAGAAAGTCAATGTACCTTGAAGGTAGCTACCAGGAGTAGCGTACTTAAATAATCTTTGAAAAAAAGAAAAATATTTAACGAATATTCATAAAAAGCTCTTTTTAGTATCAAACTAATCAAGAAATAAAGATCTTAAAAAGCCAAACGCTGGACATATATACAAGATATGTTTTTTAAACGTGTAAATTAATACACATAGTGATTCGAATTCAATTCAAAAATTCTCTCTCATATCACAGATGCTTAAAAATATTTAATATATTTTAAGAGACCAAAATTACACATTCTTTTATAGTAAACATAGCTGTTTTACTATATATGCATTACATGCTTGAAGCCAAACAGAAAAGTTGAATACAGAACAAAGCTTCAAATACATTTGATGTGTTATTAATCTTTTATATAATTTAAAAGTTACGTATGCGTGCACATATATAATCTATAACAATTTTCATGGAATAAAATGTTTACAAGAGAGAGATTCAAAGATAATAAACTGTTTTTGCTAAATGATAATATAGATATACATTATAAAGAAATGTTTGAAGTTTGCATGAAAAAGAGAGTAATACGCCAAAGTAACAATAAAAACAAAGCGAACATAATTTATATTACGACATGCGCTTAAAAATATCTAGAACCACATACACTTAAGAATCCCTTAAGTTTTTATTTAAAGCATTTTCAAATGCAAAATGTATATAAAATTTTATTAGGACTCACCTGTGTTCAGTGCTGCAATGTAAAGATAAAAAAAAGAAAATTATCTTTGTAGCACTCTCTTTTTACCAGCAAATAGTACATATACATTAATACGCTGAATCAATATCGTAAAATTTTTTATATAATTCCTTGAGTAATTTCATGTCGATATATCGAAGAAAGCTGTCTTCAATTACAGTTTTATCCAATTTATTTAGACAGATTAGTTTTTCAAATCAGTCAAAGAAAATGCATGTGAATTTTTACGATATCAATTTTGAGACATTCGATATACATATACGTACGTTTATATAAAAAACATTCATGATATCATTATTAAAATCTATCTAGATCAATAATCAAACAAAAGTAAAATATAGCTAAACTAGAAAAGAAATCGAGTTACAGTATTTTACACTCAACAAAAAGAGCATACTATAAGCCACAACATATATTAACTCTAAATTTATACATAAAAGTGAGACACGTTTCACGAACAAAAAAATATATACATATAGTTTTCTGTATAACTTTTCCATATATATCAAAATTGTTTAGCAGCACAAATTAACTTTGATGTGTATTGTACACACATACAATAAGAAAAATAATCTATAAAAGATCAAAATGGTGATTCAAAAATTTCTTAAAGTAAAATTAAAACTTTAATTACATATGTATATGTATGTAAAACAATGTGAAAGTTTTTCAAAGCAAAGTAAAACATAAATTTTATACAGGCATAAATTTCAAAATCGTGAAATTTTAAATCATTTTTATATACATATTTTAAAATTATACTATGTGTAGATATTTAATTGCTTAAATGTTAAACTATGTTACCTTGTCAAGCATTATCAAGATAATATAATATAAAAAATTAAGCATATGTATATAAATGTACTCACTTGCTTTCATTAGATAATGGAGCAATATAAACAGGAAAAAGATGACCAGGTGGAATAGATGCAGATACCATCTTCTTACCACCAATCATAGCTTGTAAATGATTGGCGTAAATGTCCAAATTAATTGGCGTACTAAGTTTCTGACTCAAAAATATCGGCATATCCGTCAATTTTTCTAATAAATCTCTTTTTTCATGACGCACATGCATTTTCAAAGTGTAATCTCCTTTTTCGAGTTTTGGGATCGTATACTGTAACGGAACAATAAAATACAATTTTGTTTTTACACATTCTGACAATTGATATAATTTATATAATTCAAACCACTTGAAACCTTACTTTAGATGGATATGCATCTCCACAACCTATTAGCTGTTTGTTACTGTCATAAAGCATCCACATTTGACTTTCATACTCACTCTCGTACAACAAATCGCTAAGTAATGCAGCGTTTGGTGTGACTTCTGTTGCTTTTGCGGAGTGAAATGGATATGAGAGTTGTAATTCATATATTTGTCGTGAAGGAGGAATGATGTCACGCGCTCGTAGAGGAGTAATTTTCGATTCGTTAGGCCTATAAATGTTACTCGATGAAAAATAATTCAATCATTAATCTGAACATAAATTTCAAATGAACATACTTCACAACTTGAACAGTTGTCTTCAGAGAAATGACGGGCGCAATTTCCTCATTTCTAAGAGAGCTACGCAATTCAAGACGATTGACTCCATCGCCAGGTTGCATTATGAGATTACCGCTAATCAAACGGATTCCATGAAATTCAATCGAATAGTCAATATACATGTCACCTAGATTTGCCCAATATTTTGCAATAACTACTTCCAGAATTAGTCCACCCTGAAAAAATAAAGAACAGAAAAACATAGTAACTAAGACAATTTATATATAAAACCAGAACTTTTAATTTTACATAATGCTTATTAAAGATAAGTACCTGAACAGCAAAAGGCTGCACAGTTTCCGATTGAGATGTAACACTAATTATTCTATTAACCTCAAGCGTCTTACAAGCCAGTCGAGGTTTTAATTGAAGAGTATGAATTACAAATCTGCCGTTTTTATCCTTTTCCGTACTTCTTAATCTAAGAACTATAATAAAACAAATGAGTATAAAAGTAATAACTTTTTAATAACGTCAACGTAAGTAAGTTTTTTCATGTGTTTTACCTGCCCAAGTAGCATCTTCCGGAACAAGAATGAAATGACGCTGAATTGTATTCGGTTTAAACAAAACGTTTGTATATGTCAAATCTGGAAGAAGTGCAGTCTTTTGTAATGTCATTGGTTGGACAATAGTCACCGGAATTTGAAATACTGGCCCTTTCGCGACGTTCGATACATCAAATGCTCGTATACTGAAAAATATAAATATAAACTTATTTACGGTTATTTCAAACGTTTTAATATAACAAACATCTGTTTACCTAGTTGTATGAACACCTTCTGACAAGTTAGATGCATCAACTCTAACAGAAAAACCACGAGGCATATGCATTAAATCTAGATGTACTGGATACTGAACCCACGAAGCATCACACACGAGCGACAGCTTCAGATTGAAGTCGATCTTACGCTGTGGGTCTGCAAAAGGAATACAAACTTAAACCTAATATAAATGACAAAATATCATAGATTTGCAATCGATAACATAAAAACTTTATAGAAAAAACGCTAAATTATACCTATATTTTCACTATTTATGAATACTGGCTCAACAGTAATTGCATAATCCTTTGGACGATCAATGACACCTGTTCTCATGTGAATGCCTTTAGAATTATTAATGCCACAATTAACGACAAATCGAATGTCTCTTTCAGCGGCATCGTAATACGAGACGAGATTTTCAAACGCACGTTCGACTTGCAATAGGCCAGAGCCTTGCGCAAATGGATCTAACGTAGGTATATAAAGAGCGGTATTTTCAACAGCCCTTTTTATACTGTAAGGAGAATAGGGAACATTTTTGGCAAGAAGACCCGATATAAGAACCGCTAAAAATATGAAAAATGCTTTATTAAGAAATTTGTTCATAAAATATGCTAGTTTTGCTATTATAATAAAAATTTTAATACTTACCAACTGCTCCGGTTACATGTGGGCTCGCCATACTAGTACCATTCATAAGTTGACATTTTCTAAGCGTGAAATTTGGAACACTAGTGATAGCACCTCCTGGTGCACATACCGTTACACCAGCACCTCCGTCTATCATCGGACCACGAGACGTCCAAGTATACGGCATACCTGGCATCTTTTCTCGCAAAGAATATTCAGCCAGCATCATGTCAGGCGATACGTAAGCACCAACGCTAATAATACTGCTTGAACTAATATCCGGAGGAGTTCCTATAATTTTTGAAAATATTTACGGATGTATATATATACACACGTTGAAAACTGCATACTATAAAAAAGAGTAATCTTAGAAAGCAAATTTTGTAAATAGAATTTAATTACATTTACCAATAGTGCACAAAGCTGGTCCGAGATTGCCAGCAGATGCGACCCATGTTACTCCATGTTCGTCAATAACTTCGTTCATCAATTCTCCTATTCTACCCGTGTTTGACCAATGAGCATGCTCTCCATAACTCATATTTATTACGTGAACCTTTTCTTTACGTTTCATAATATGAATCATTGCGCGTACCACGGCCGTTCCAGTTTCCATTGTGCCAATACGACCATCACCAACAGTTAGAGAAATAATTTGAGCACCTGGCGCTACTCCGCTTAATTCCGGTGCATCAGGAAAATATGCAGCCGCAATTGAAGCTACGTGGGTCCCATGACTCGCTACAATTCAAAATAAAAAAATGGAAATTTAACAGAAAATTTCATATTTGTTCTGTGAGAATAATAACCTTTGCACTTACAACATAAGCTAACAATTTCTAATGTATTTCCCTCGTCATGAACATTAATACTAATATTTAATTGATCTTCTGGAGTAAGAGGAGCAAACTCTCTCGTAATAGAATATTCACCAAGAAACACACCAGCTTCTAGATTACCTTCTTCCGAGGTATCAATGCATGCTCTGTAGAAAAAATAGACAACACATTGAACAACCTCGAAATAGATACAAATAAATTGAATTGTATGCATACACATACACACACGGAAGATTTATAACACATTATCACCTCCAAACTTCTCCATCATGAAAAACGACACAATCATAAGTGGGTCCCACATCACAATACTTCTTTTCAAGGTTGTTCAATACTTCAACTTGAGCTTCAAGTTCCTCTTTTTTCAGTCTTTCTTCTGAAGTTGACACTTGTGGACATTTGCTTTCAAAATCCTATATATCATAATTGTTTTGTAAAGACCATCATAACTTTAGAAAGTGAGGGGAGGAATTACATGTGGATCAAAACAATTAATGAGAATACTGAACATATACATAGCACCCATTGCTCTGCTTAGATAGATATTATGTAATGGAATCAATGTCTTTTCAATAGATCAATCTGCCAAATACAAATATAGCACTGGATACAGATCACTGTGACATGTTGTGAAATAGTGTCCTCATTTAATTGCATGGTTTGACATACTCACACAACATTCCTATCTTTGGATCACATGGACTAATATTCTAATTATGTTACTCAGAATTAATCTTTCCATTAATTTCTTACACATAACTTCAGTTTAAACAAAATATAATAAAAGATAAAATTTGACATAATTGTGTAAATAACCTAACCACATTAAATAGAACTATGTGAGTAAAATATTCTCTCAATTGTTGTAATTATTCTAAAATCATGTGTCAAAAAGAAATATTAGTTAAGTGACAAGAAGAATTATTAACATTCTAACAGAGAGTATCTAAAAAAAACTATTACATACTTGTAATTGTCTAGAAGCTTCTGCAAGTGCTGTTTTATGTCCATCATCCCAAAGACGTTTTTTGCGTTCTGCTATTACTCTTTCCTTTAATTTATTAGGATACAGGGAATACAAATTTCTTAAACCAATATGATATTTTCCAGTAGGATTTTTCCAATTAGATGGAACCTTTAATTTCCGACCAGTTAAACCATTTATATATCCGTCTGGTGCTTGAACAACCTTGCTAGTATCTACATCTCCTGCTCCGCTGCAGTCAAATCTTTCAATAATTTTCGGTTTCCCATCTGAAGTCACCTAAATCCCAGAATATATTATATTCATAAGAAATAATTCTTGATAATAAATTTATAACTATAAAAACACATAAAAATATAAGAAAAAATTTTATTAAAAAGCTATTGACAATAGATTTAATGCATTATAACATAAAAAATCGTATATATAAATACTTTTTCACTTCTATAAACTTTTCTCTTAATGAAAAAAATGTGTGTGTAAAAACTTGTGTGTAATAAAACAAAGAACAAAAACCATGACTTTTATTTTTCAATGGAGACACTCTGTAAGAACATATAAAACTTGTAATGTAGATAAAACAGAAGATTAACATAAAAAAATATCTTTTACTGATTGAAATATATTTTTTATTGAAAAAACCCGATATATTCTTGTTCTTGAAATAAATAAAACATTTTTTCTCTGTGAAAGAGGAGGTGCTTTGCAAAGATTAGAAGGCGTGTCAATGCATAACCAATGTCGTGAGTCCGTTCTCCCTCACCTGCATACCCGGGGCCCCGGGGTCCACTCCCGAATCAAGAATCGCAATGACGACACCTCGCCCATCGTATTCGGGATATTTGTTGAGGAACTGAGCGACACCCGTCTCTTTCTTAGGCAACAGGCCCCAGATAGGAAAATTACAATCGATGGCTTCTGCCATGTTTCAAGTGCCGCTGACACTGTGACCGTAGGAAAACCACTTTGTGATGTTTCCTTTGTACTGCCACAGTCTTATATATCAATCAAACAATCAGATCTGCGCGTGCGTAACGCGCTACTTTTAAGGTTATGTGCGGTTAACGTTATTAGCGACAGATGATACATATCATCACCCATTACCGTCGGACGATAATCTCTTGAGTAAAAACTTTAGTTATCTATTTGCACTGAAGATTGCATTCATTGAAATAATCACTACAGAGAAAAGTAATCGGAAACAACGCGGTGACCAATCAACTTCTTGCTCTTTCGGAGTATATACATTGTATGTAAAGAAGTGTGAGGTTACGGAGGTTATGTTTTGTCGTCCGTATATTGCTGTGTATGTATTTTGAAATAGCTATACTCGTGCTTTCTCGATTCGAATCTACATTTTCCATATATTATGTAAGATAATGCGGTACTTGTCTCAAGTGAGAATGACGGAAGCGTTATTCTAATATAAAGTCATGTGCAAACTTAAAGAATGGTTGTCACGCCACGAAAGATGAAACAGGTTGTGATATTCGTATCTTGCGTATTGCTGGGTGAGTTTTAGGAAAGGTTATGAGAAATGTATCAGTTTTTTATTAAAAAAACAAATTGCTCATTGAATCATTTGCAATTATTTGCGAATAGCAATTTATTTACAATTAAAATGCTACAGCGAGCGTATAACAAATAAGAATTGGAGTAATTAATATTTGTCACTTTGTTTTTTTTCACACTTTTATTTGCCTTTTCAATGTAAGTTTATATTACTTTTAAAAATATTATGAATTCTTTTTTCTTTATTTACAATTACATCATTTGAATGTTGAATGCACGCGCACTTGATGATATATTTTCAAATTATGTGCACATATTGTATTCGTTTACGTAACAATAGTTACGTAGACACGTACTTCCGCTTATTTGCAATTTGATTGTTTCACTATAATTTATATATTACGATTAACACAGTTGTAATAAATAACGTGATTATTTTTTCAGTAACATACACTTATATATCAAATTTGCAATATTCTCTTCTATTTTGTCTTTTTTTTTGTAACAGTATTGGGATTTTACAAAACTTTGGTAACAACCGAAGAACGATCTTTTAGACGTGGCCGACATCGTGTCATAGTCAGTGAAAACAAGATCAGTTTAGATAACAAGAATGAAATTATCGAGGCGCAAAAAGTTCGCAATGTCGTCGAGGACTCGTCAGATATCAAAGATATCGAGGAAGCAAAAATTCGCATTCGAGAGCTGGAAGGCAAGCTTCAGCATTTGGAAGCGGCGATTAAAAACGGAGTGGCAAAGGACTTTCCGATCGTGAAGTTCTTGAATTACAAGAATCGGAAGCGAATATTGGTGACTGGCGGCGCGGGTTTTGTCGGTTCTCATCTGGTGGATCGTTTGATGCTGGCTGGGCACGAAGTGATAGTCGTCGATAATTTCTTTACTGGCAGAAAGCGGAATGTAGAACATTGGATCGGTCATGAAAATTTCGAATTGGTGCATCACGATATCGTGAGGCCGCTCTATTTAGAAGTAGACGAGATCTATCATCTCGCCAGTCCTGCTAGTCCGCCGCACTACATGTTAAATCCCGTAAAAACGATAAAAACAAATACTTTAGGGACTATTAACATGTTAGGACTCGCAAAACGGGTCGGTGCGCGAGTATTAATTGCAAGCACGTCGGAAGTATACGGAGATCCTAATGAGCATCCTCAGGCAGAAACTTACTGGGGTCATGTGAATCCCATTGGTAAGAATTTCTTGTTAAGAAATATGTGTCTTTTGAAATATTGTTGTCATGAAATATTGACTTTTCATGTATAGGTCCAAGAGCATGCTATGACGAAGGAAAACGGGTTGCTGAAACATTAAGCTACGCCTATATGAGACAGGAGGGTGTTTCAGTTCGAGTTGCGCGAATTTTCAATACTTTCGGTCCGAGAATGCATATGAATGACGGTCGAGTTGTGTCAAACTTTATTCTTCAAGCCTTACAGAATGAATCAATCACAATTTACGGCAGTGGAAAACAGACGCGATCGTTTCAATACGTTTCTGATTTAGTGGACGGTCTGGTCGCATTAATGGAATCGAATTACACTTTGCCAGTAAACATCGGAAATCCCGTGGAGCATACGATCGAACGTAAGAGTTATTTGTTGTATCGTACGAATTTTGTTTTACGACCTGTTTTGTGTATCTGAGATTTGACATTTTTTATTTGTTTTTAGAATTTGCGCTCATAATAAAAAAGTTGGTAGGTGCCACCAGTGAAATAGTTGAACGCGCGGCAGTCGAGGACGATCCGCAGAGACGAAGACCTGATATCAGCAGAGCAAAACAATATTTGAACTGGGAACCGAAAGTCTCTTTGGCTGAAGGTTTGAAAAAAACCATAGAATACTTCGACAAGGAATTGCAAAGGACACAACATTCTCAGAATCACAGTTTTAAACAGTCTTCTTATAAAAATGATCATGATATAGTAGAACAACTTTAGAGGAAAACAAGTGTAATGATACTACTAATGTATCCACTTACGAAAGTGGCGTGAAAGTGCCATTAAGATACGGACCAGTATGTGCCAAAACCCCGTCCAAAATGTTTGACTTGTATATAATTTGATTTATATATATACATATAATCGCATCTCTTCATCATTTATACATATATTTTGTTTCATATTTTTCATTTTATCGCTTAAATTGAGAACATACGTGTATTAGTCCCTTATAAAAGTAATTATTCTATAAATGTATTTTTTTCATAATTATCATAAAAAACTATCAGCTTTAGTGCGAGCGTATGCAAAGAAGGAATTATACATATTATATATATATATATACATATATATATATATTATTTATTTGCTGTTGATATTGTGTGTACAAAGTAGCGCCAATCATTATCTTTCTATGCATATATATTTTAGGAGGACGGTAGTATTTGATTTTTATCTCATATTTGTAGATATACGTATATGTTCATAAATTTCTATAAAAAAAACTTCTGTCCGAAAGAAGTTAACGCTGGTGATATAGAACAGAAAATGTTTGCTTTTTGTAATATATTGTGTGTTAAAGAGAAATCGTAAAAGTAAAGTCAATTTGCTCTCAAAAAAATAGCTCATATATAAAAATATTTCTAATTAAAAAAGTTATATTTATAGTTATATTAAATATTTATATAGTTTTAAGAGAAGAAATTGTTCAGTTTTTGTTTTTTTCTCTCATAGCAACAATAGTAGAGTAACACTATCGAAGATGTACTTGTATAATAAAACATTAAGAAATTATTAAGCTTATAGGTATAAAGTTACTTAAACGTAACAATGATGAAAGTTTGCGACTTCTTGTTTGCGATACTAACACAAATAGTGTTAGAAACATAATATGTGTAATATATTAGCGTAATCGTAAATGTGTGAGACTGTAATAACAAACTACGTATGTATAAACAAGAAAGTAATTTTATATTTTATACATATAATAAGTAGAACAGAAGAAATAAAATTATCACTTTTAATGTATTCCTTGTCATAATACAATAAAATTACTTTCTATATTGCCGTTAGTCAATGCGATTGTTAGTTTAACAAAGTAAATTCTTTTCGTACAAAAGAAAAAAAATTGAAAACAATGCAACGTGATGTAAAGAAGCAAGTGAATAAATATAAATAACTGTCTTTCTATCAAGTTGCAAATATACGAAAGAAATGTAATGATACATGTGCAACGCGCCAAGTATGATATAATCATCATTATGCGTCGGCTCACACAATACATCATCTTTGACTACGTAATTATCGAGTGCCAAGTGTTTCCACTTTTCCTGTCCTCACTTTCTTAGAACAACAGTTTGAAAAGCTAGCAATTATTTTTTTTATTTGCACGCGTTGTTACAAATAAAGGTAATTTTTTAAATACACGGAGACGTTTCTTTTGTGATAACGAGATAAAACATATTTTATCGTGTAATATCCATTGACATGTAACGAGATTGTTATTTTTTGAAACGCGCGAGAATCCGAAGAAGCCGTCGGCAATATTTTTTTTCGGTTTGCACGCGATGGTGATTTATTGTGAGACCCAATTTTGTGACTTCGAAGATTGTGTAAAATATGTCTGTAACTTGATAGAACCGTATCTCTCTCAATACTTCAACAAGACAAACCTTTCGCTCTTACGCAACCTGTTACTGATTCTTCTTGTCTGCTCGACGAGAGAGATCACGAGTAGATAATTTAATCTCATTGTGAGCGCGCGATTGCAAGCGCGATGCATTCCAGAACGAGATTGGAGAATAGTCCGTGGTCGTTTAAAGCGACTATTTGAAGGGCCGATTAATCGTAATGGGTGTCGCGTGGGCCATGACAGGGCGCGCGTGGTCGGTTGTGTCTCGTCTCTTCAAAAGAAGACGAACGGAAGGTGAAATGAGAAGTAAGCGGGAGGAAAGAGACGTAAGGTCCGGTGATTCTTAATGATAATCATCGCATCCGGGATATATACTCGGCGACTCGGTTGGTGCAAATGAAAGTGCCGCCGCTAGGGTGATGATGACCTAATCGTCATAAATGCGTTCGTACGAAGTCTGTCTGACTCGAACTGAAAAGAACACGTCATACGACGCACGGTTGACGTGTGTGCTCATATTATGAGAGGAAATGAAAAAGAAAAAAAAACAACGATATAAAAGTAATCTGAATACGGAATCGATCCTTAAAAAAAATACACCAGTAGTTATCCTGATCGAATTAAAAATTTGAAATTTTCCGATTACTTTTGCTTTATCAGCGAAACACAAATGTAACTTGTTGTTTTACTCGTTGTTTTTCTTTGTCGTACAGTTCATTACGAGAGAGATGCGTTAACAAGACCGACTCCGCTATTTACGTAGATCGACGAGGTATGTTTTCTCAACATGTCGTACCAGGAAACACACGCGCAACGAGGAAGATCAAAGTAAGAACCGCGCAACATCTCGCGCAACTTCCTCGCGTGCGTTTGAAAATCGTTATTATACAGGCGTCAAGTTACATTTACGTATACGTGATCTATGAAACTGTAATTACGTTAGTCGCGGAAAAACAAGCGCGACGGAAAAGTGGCGACGGGTGTGTGTTCTCGACACTTCACTTGATTTCAGCTCGATAAAATAAAATATCACGCCGATAAAAACGCGCGGTGCAAAGATTAATTTATCCGCGTTGCGTTATAAAAACAAACAAATAAAAAAGATTTCACGGCTTTCGTGCAAACGGCAAACACATTAGTCAACCTTTTCAAGAGTTATTTATATTGCGCTTCTCAACACAAGACACGCAGACATTATCTCTGTCAGAATAAGACTTTTCTGTCACGTTAAGTAAAAGCAATCAATCTTATGTACCAAACGCGCTCCGATATAAAAGTCGAAATCAAAATGTCTTCTTGATATATGTGCGATTTATGTACTTCGTTTCTTAGGATGTAAATCAGATCGAACGTATTTGTCAGAAGATCAAAGTAGCACGTGTTTGCAACAAAAAATACAAATGTAAAATATGTTATTCACTTCTAAGAGAATCGTGAACTTGCGAAAGCGTAGCGTCTGTTGGCACTCAACCAGTTTGCTTTGGCACGGCATGAATCCTATTCGGTTGTTGATAACGCCAGACGAGACTGTATACATATATCTGTAGCGCGTGCATTCCGTCGAAACTCCGCGACTCATCGCCAAACTCCGAGTGTCGAGTCCGGAACGGGAAGTCGTGCCTCGAGACTGCGAGAGAGACTTGTGGGCGCAAGTTCAGCACAAGTTGTGCAAATTGTACGAACGCGATAAAGATTTCGTTCGAGTTCGCTTGTAAAGGCATCATGACCCTGCGATATTTCGAGCCGCGGAAACGGAATCGTGGCGCAGGTGTTGGGGTGATAGGTGGGTGTAAGTAGCAAACACACAACGTAGCGCCGGGTTAATACCTGAGCAGTAAAAGCTTCTCTCTCTCTCTGTTTCCCGGTCACCTTTCCCCGTCGGTTACAATTGAAACAGCCGGCGTGCAGAACGTACGATGGGATTTTACTGCCGTGCCATACGAGCCTTTTCGATACTAATTTTCGCTAAAAGCTTTACGACCACGCTGGCGTCGTGGGACTTTTGATACGGTCGCCGTATAATTTTGCGTAAAGCGAAAATTTACGGGAATATGTTCCACGTCGACGCATTTATGGTCAGTAGTCTTATCGGTAATATTCTCCGTTCGTGATGTGGCCGTGTGAATTTGTTTCGACTATTGCGCGCTTTTCAATTTCCTCTTCTTGTCTCGGAACTCTTCGCACGTGATCTTTTAGTGTCTAAGAATATCCGCCGATGCTTCCATATTCATAACAACAAGTTTGTTTTCACGTCAAAATAATACCCAATAAAGCGCGTGCGCACCGAGATTTAAAAAAAAAAAAAAAAAAAAGACTAAATGCAAAAATAAGAAAATGCGCGCGCTGATTTCGTTACTGCGATCGTCGCGAAGTTTCGAATTTTTCGCCGCGACGGATTTCTCTTCCGCGGTCGATCGCTCGCGTCGATAAATCGCTTCGACGAGAAGAGGCGCGCGATTTCCCCATTGCTCACCCGCCAGGACACCGGTTTCGCGGCGAAGAATTTCACGAGGGACGAGAGCAAGAGGAGAGCACCGTGGAAAGGATGATGCACTTGGCGCGCCGTAGGACCCGTAAAGGCCGGGATCAACGCGCAAGTTTTCTGGCTCGGGCACAGAGGGAGAGCAGCTGTTTCCAGGCTGGACGGTGCCGACGGAGCGAAGTGGCCATGGACTGACGGCGGACTTCAGTCTAGTTGCGACCGTCGCGTTGCGAGGTCGTTTGACGAAACCGGTTCGGTTCCCGCGAACAATTATCTTGCCGCCACGTGTATTCGTGCATCGTTTTGCCGACGTCGTCGATTCGTGGCCGAATTTTACGCCGGTTCGGGTTACAAACAACGATAAGATCGTGCCATCGATCCAATTTCATCGTCAAAAAGCAGTTTCGTCGCCGATGAGAATCCGGCATCGCCTTCTCTATTAGTACAGGTATTAAAAACTTTTTTCTTCTTTTTCTCTTTAACAATTGAACTCGCTGGTTCTCTTGACGCGCACCACATTTATGTTTTCTTAGATACACGCGATGAACGCGTCTTATTTCTACGTTTCACAAATTCATCGATATTTATCGGTCAATTCTTAATTTTCGGCGGAATTTAAATTATACTCTTTCGTTATATGCATGCTCGTCGCATCCTCGCTTAGAGTAAATTTCAGACTCGCGTAGGCCGATTCACGCGGCTGTAGATCGGCGAACCAGTCCAGTGTCGCAAAAAAACGTTCTAGCACATGTCTCGATCAATGGGCCTACAATGAAAAAAAAGTAACACGAAAAAAATTTACATACTATTCGTTGTGAAATCTTGACCAAGTTCTGCACTAAACAAAGTCCGAATAAAAAAACGATTTATATTTGGTCTCTTTACATTTTAGCTGTGATTTCCGTTTAAATTTACAATTTTAGTATTTTTTATTTTCGTGTTTTTTTTTACCGACAATTAACATTTTCATGTAAATTTTCGTAAATTTTGAGTTATTGTTTTATATGAAAAGATTACGAGATTATTGTCGAAGTTTAGCGAGGACCGTTTTACGATCGTTGCTTTTCAAAGTAAGATGTAGTTTACGCGCATAAAAGCGTCGTGTAAGCGTAAAGTACATTTGAAAGCAGCGATGCACAAGCACAATAGTGCAATTGTAGCGTATACGGCTTTTGTATACAAGAGCGTAATTGTATTATACGACTGTCGGGGAGTCGATGATTGCTTTGATGAAACGCGTAGAATAAACTGATTAAGAAGACAAAAGTTTCTCGGCAAAATTCGCGATGTAAAAGTAATTATACCTTACATTTGTGCGAACGCTGCAATAATTGCGAAACTTAGCAATTTTCTAGCAAAGAAAATTATAATACTTCAAAAACTGATGAAATAGAATTAATCTGTAGATATTGCAATTTTATACGCATTTTTTATACGTTTTCAATCTTGATAAATATAATATTGATACACATATAAATTACCGCGTAAAGATGAAGCATCGACGCGATTTGTGTAAAAAAAAAAACTAATATATTATTCGCGTTCGTAAAACAAAAACTTATCGAACTGCAGTGATTGTAACGTAGAAAAAAAGAAAAGCAGCAACAATCTGTGTACACATTACTGACACCCGCATTTTGCACCTAACGCGCGATAGCATGATTAACTGCTCATTGTACATTCATACGTAGAAAGGTATATTTATTACAAGCGGTTTTTTCCCTGCAACGATGCCTGCAGTCACACATAGTTTATTACTCACATTAGTATTTTTTTCAAACTAAAGATGGCGCAACAGGCTTAATGTTCTTCTATTTGTTATGTTCAGAAATAATTTATTAGTTTTACGCGCGAAGTTTATCTATGATTTTACGCGATATTTTCATATAGGCAATATTCGATCTTCAGTTAGACAACTTCTGCGAATCAATAAAATATAAAATATGCAATTGTGCGTAAATGTTTAATTTATTATTTATATTCGAATTTCTCGACAACAAAAACACGAACTTCGTGACTTGCTTTGTCTATTCACATGTTTGAAAGACATGCTGGAAACTTCTTTTTTTTTCTTTTTTATTTTCAACTTAGATTGCGGAGAGAGTCGGCGGCAAAATAGAGTCGGGCAGGAAATTATTTCGCGTACCATTTGGAAGAGCCAGAAATAGATTCATGACGGAAGGCACGCTATAGTAAATAGAGAAAAAAAAACCCGAAGAAATCATTGTGAGTGCTTGCTATTCGTGCTATTCGTCGCGGGGTTTGCCTTGAGAATTCATGAATCCGTCTCGTTGATGCATTAGCCGGATAAATATCGTCGCGAAAACTGTCTGCGAGCCGTTTCACGAAGCAAAATTATTTTTACGAGCTCTTAATAGCACGGTTATTGTTATGCTATTGAACGGAATCCAATTTGTAAGACAGTTTGAAATCCGTATTAATGAAAGGATAGATAGATAGAAACGGAAAAAAAGAAAGAGAGAAGAAAGAAAAGTTGTACGCGGAGATGCGCCATATTCACTGACAATATTTATCGATTTCAAAGTTTAGCTGCAGTTATAATTGGTACAGATAGAGATTGATCTGTTTTGGTAACATATAGCTTGAAAGCTCTCTTGTCAATTCGATCTATTTTCATTTTCTCCAAGCCACTTCGCTCAATTCGATTTTGAATAAAGTTCGTTATTTATGTATAAAATTTAATCTTACAAATTTAGATTTAAAAAATTTTTTATTTTAAATTTTAGACAAATTAGACTTATATACAAATAAGTTTGTATACACATCTGTTTATTATAGTTCTTTTTTCTCAAGAAATCTATTTTCAAATTTAATAAGAGCGTGGAAAAAGTGCGCGGCGCATTTGTTTTGATTTAGACAAAAATGGAGATTTGCGATATTTTCAAATATAAATCTTCCTCAGTGTTTTCGAAATCAATTACGTGTGAGAACAAATTTATATCTCTGAAAACTCAACAGTAAAATCATATTCTATATTTCACTGAATATTGCAGCTGTTTAAAGTTTAATGAATTGGAAACCCATTGGCATTACCCCGATTAAATAATTAATCGCGGCGATTCGAATATACGAAGAGAGTAAATTCATCAAATATGAGGTCACACACGTGACATTCTGCGGTATCTAAGACATCATTCTTAATTCAACGTTTAGTATCAACTTCGATATCACGTGTCTTGATCGTGTGCGAATATAAAATAAGTGTAGTAGTTGACAACTTTACGAACACATCCTTGAACGGTTCCCACACATTACTATTTTAGTTTTCGTAACCCACTTTGCGCATTGATACATTGCATTGCAGAATAACTTATGCTTTACCTGTAGATATGTGAAAGCTTCCTCTTTCGAAAATATTATCTTTTATTCATTATTCTTTTGAAATATCATTTTTCTTAGTTTAAAGAAAATATATTTTTTATTAATTAAATATAGATAAAAATACAATTGTAATACGTAGTATATATATACATATATATTTTAACTGTTTTTATCGTATTTCTAAAAAAAACAGTGCATTTAAATTTTTACGACTTTGCAGCAGTTTATACAGACGAGATAAAATAAATTTAACGAAGCATACAAATAAATTTGTGATTGTCTATCAATGTATCGTTTCTGTTATTGAAGAATGGAAATCCAATTGAGTGCGCAAAAACCTTCGCCAGTTATTTTTAGTCTAATTACATGCAAAATGCCACTTTACAAGCGGAAACTCGAATCAGTCAGATGTCATACGTTTTCTACGGACTTATATGATCGACAAACATCTAAAACAATCTTTTATTTCTAAATAACTTTTTATAAAGTGTATTTGTGACAGAGACAACAGACAAGTTGAGGAGAGACGCTACGTAGCAAAAATAGTAATAATATTTATCTAAAATTTATTTTTAATTCAAAAATGAAATAACATTTTCCCAAAATCTCTTCGCAAAATACTCGTGAACAAATAGAACAGTTTAAATTGTGCCAAATGAAAATCGGTATCACCAAGAATTTTTCTTCGCAAAAGTGCAGTTAAATTTTTAACTTTTTTTTCTCTCTCTTTCTCTCTCACTCAGAATTCTTCTTATCTTCAATAATATTGATTTTGTTCGTTCAGTCAGCAATAAAACTTTACTTTGCGGATCTTCCGCGTAATATGCGACGAATATTCTTTCTCGTCTTAAATATTGTTAGTTTAGGTAATCTCCTTAAAGTTTTACAATATTTATTCTAGAATCCAGAAAGAAAAAGACAAAATGCTTGATAAAAGCATCTTTCTTGACGGTGTATATTTTTAAACAAGAGTTTAACTTCAATTAACCAAAGTTGTTTACATTACAGCAATATTCCTGTCTCTTACAGACACAAAATAACGCACTAATTCGGATTTAATACTTTTTTAATTGTTAGACAAATCTTTTTAAATGCGGTAACTGGATGTTAAAAACAATCTGTGTAGTTAACACGTATCCTAACGTGAAATTCAACGCGCATATTCGTTATGCTTCATGTTGCGGCAAGCAATGAAATGTGTGGCAACGTAGGTGTTAGATTCCATTTGACAGTTCCCATAGTTATAACACGGGATCAGACCACCCGATGGTGATTCATTGTGCATGTTATTGGGAGCGATATATCCGTACTCTTTGAAATTCTCTCGAGTCAATATGGGATATTCCGAAAAATTATTAGTACAGGATCTCACGCTCGCGTGCAAACCCGATAACATTTTCATTTATCGCATGTTACTACATTTCAAAATTCGTTATGCTTATATTTCCGCGTATAAATTGTGGACGATTGCGGAATAACTTAATATCACGATTATTCACTTGAAACTCGACATATAATACGAAATAATCTCGTGAATTAAAATCAAAATGCGAAAGGGATTTTTTTTTTGACATAACAATTCGTTTAAATCTGTATCGCGTATCAATAGATAATAAAATTATAAATTATTAACAGCGCGAGATGCAAATTCATAAGCTGAAAGTTTAATGAAGCTTTAAATAATTTCTCGTTTCTCTCTCATTTTGCGATATGATTTCTTTCTCATGCGCGGAATTTAAAGAGACTTTGCGTGTTACATTGTCAGTCGGCGAATAATGCGCATCGTAACTAATGTCCGATCATAAATCATAGAATTTAAATCTCTTCGGATATTATGGTTATAATTTCGCAAGTAGAACACGCTAATGATGTAACACATAAATCTTTCTCGGAAATAGATTACATATTGTATCGCTTTCTCTCTCTCTCTCTCTGTATTAAATACTGCAATTATTCATAAACTCAATACGTATGCAACAAAGTAATTGTTTTAGACTTCTCATAGATATTTAATTTAATACTTTTCGTAGAAATAAATCATTTCTTTGATAAACTCTTTACGAGCCAGCAATCTTGTATCTTTTTATACCGTTCCGATATTTATCT